GGAAGGCGGTTTAGCGGTAGGAAATGATTGAACCACAGCTAAACCGTATTATAGTACAAAATCCTACTACTGACTTTTCTGATATAATCTCATGTGCGGTTTCACAATCCTTGTTTAAAAGTAAATCTCAAGACACTAAAACAGGTAACCAGAGTGTTCGGTCGTCAATAATCCACATTTAAATAAGTCAAAACACCTTCTTGAATATTAATCTCTTTGCAAGTTATTATACAATATGATTGAATCTATATGCACTTTCAAATAATTTTAACATTCATAGATTATATCGATAATAATGATCAATAATTGAGCTTAAACCTAAATAACAATCTCGCAGTTGTAAGAGCATCCACATCAATGGTATTTTCTCAATTGCAAATCCTACATGGCACTCAAAATGCAATTGCAAATGGGATTGCACCAATGTAGTGGGCACTTCCAAAAATGCAGAGCATCCACATCAATGATATTTGCTCAATTGCAAATTTTACATGACACTCAAAATGCAATTGCAAAGGGGATTGCACCAATGTAGTAAGCACTTGCAAAAATGCAAGCTTACATTAAATGAAATTGAATATGCAAGCCACATAGAAAAAAAAAAATTAAACTATCATATATACAATTGATGAATTGCATTGATGTAGGTGCAATGAAATAAAAGTGAGTTGGATTGCATAAAATTTAAGATAGACAATAAAAAAGTTATATGCAATTACTTTGCCAATTGTATTGATGTGGATGCTCTAAGCCATACTACTTGAGTTAAAATCCATATTAATTTGTTTGACTCGAATTACTCTTTTTCATTGTTCTGCCATGTGTTGCAGAGTAGATAAAAAAAATTTGGTAGAAAAAGCCTTGCTCGGATAGTCTTTGGAATGATGCTAAATAAATGGAAGGCCAAACAAATACATAATTATGCAACTCTGAACCGACTCGGTGAGGTAATATATAGTGGAAAAGTCTACTCTGTCCTTCCGTGAGATGCGGTGAGGCTCCCAATATTTACTTTAACCCACTCTCTCCGCAGAATCTCTATATATTAGTTGGTAGATAGAGGTAGATATATCGAGACACAATGTGTCCTAACAATACATTATACATCTGACCAACCGGCGGCCGCCGGAGGGAAAGGTGAAAGACCCTTTTCATGAAGATATTTTCTTTCCTCCCTTTTTCTTGTCCTAGTCGATCATCTCAACAAATATCTCAGGCACGATATTTATTTCTCCGGAAAACAAATATCTCTCTAATCCTTTTTTTGGGTGGAAAAGTGCAAGTAAGTAAATATCTCTCGAGACTTTTAAGATTGCACGATATGTAAATCGATATGCATGATTGAATCGAATCATGGCTTATGATAAATTATTGATAACTACTTGTACGTCCTGTCAATGACAAAAAAGTTTTGATTAACAACTAGCTAGTGCCTAGTAGGCTAATTGGGTTAAGCTAAAACCAGGTGCCATGGCAAACAGAAAGCTTTTGACGAATGCAGCTGGGAAATTAATGGGAACTATTTGGTGTCAATGTATCTGCACGTGTCGATGAATCAACTCAAATTATTGGAATGGTTGGTGATGTGGGTAATAGAGTTGGTTTGGTAAAAAAGTCCGTTTGTTCGAAAATTTTACGAATTACGTACAATAGTAAATTGATTTGTGAGAGTGATATGAGATTCATAATGATCATCATTCTCCAATCAACTCGAGTTATTTCAACCGAACGTACGGTTATGAGATTCATAATTAAGCTTCTCCCAACGGCTCGACTTATTAGGACTAAATGATTTGTTTGTTAACCATTTAGTCTGCCTAATGGCAAACCAGCTCTGATACCAAGTCATAAATTAAATGAACTAGTCTTAATAACTCAGTTGCTGGGGGAGACCCATGTTAACCACTTCCTTACACGTAGGAGTATAGCAAGGTAACTAGAAAGCTCGCGACGTTTGGTCTTTCACTTGCCATTGATGTTGCTACAGCGTGACAAGATTTTCATAGGCTGAGATCTTTTTAGGTTGTCCATACCGTTAGTAGATAGTATAAGATCAATAATTGAATCTAATGGACGCATGGTTATTATGGAATAATCATATATAATAGTTAAACATATCTCTATCAATCCCCTATCTCGACCATTATTTTCTTCTTCTCGTTCTAAATCCCATCTCAACTCTCGATGTCTTCTATCCCTTCTCTAAATTACCATCACAATCATATCGACCTCGAGTGCCAAGATCTGTGCATCCATCAAGATCTCTCCCAATAATTCGAGCTATCAGGAGTATACAGTTCACGACGTGGTATCAAGGCCTTTGATGCTCCCTCTCCCAAATGTTAACCACATAATATTCAAATATATTCAAATTTAACGCTCATATAAATTGACTTTAATTTGAGAAAACACAATATAAAATTCATAATTAAATTTTTGTATAACAGCTCGACTTATCGAAATTAAACGACTTATTTGGCCTGCCTCTCAGTTCCTCCATCTCTAATGCTCTCTCGAAATACGAATACCACATTTGTGTGTTTTAAACATGAATCAACCATCTCCCCTTTCACAAAATTATTTAAAAACACACTAAAAATGGTTGAATCTCGATCACAAATTGATGCAAACGACGTGGCACCAATTTTGGACACTGAATATCACTGGCCACTGCCAGCGTGGATATATTAAACTAAAAAACCTCGTCCTCAATTTGTGACATTGTACGGTGGCTTTCCCCATTTCCACCCTTTTAATTAAGATATTGGTACGGTGGATTTCATTGGCCATTCAAACACGCCTTAGTGGGATTCAGTCTCAGCTTCCAGTAACCTTTGGCCTCAGCAATTTCATTGGCTGGAATCTATACGTACAGTAGCATACAATAATATGTGTAATGTGTTAAGACTCTGTGTGTTACATATAATGCTGATCATCATAAGTCAATGGCATGAATCAAAGAGGGAGGGTTTGGTTCCCCATTTTGCACATTGACTTTTCCTGATGTGATGAGATTTCATTGAGGAGTTTCATGTGTGGTTAGGAGGAGATGCCATTCATTCCACAACAATTCCCCTCCCATTTGACTTCAATGGGACAGGTGTCGTATCGGAATCCACGAGGGGAAAAAAACTAGGAGATTTTCAGGTGTTACGGTTGTTGTGGTTCGAGTTTGGAGATGGGCGGAAGCTTCGTTTTGAGTGGATTCGACAGCGGCGACATTCCGTGTTAAAGACGGTTTATTAGTAGACGGGGTCGAGATGTTGCTTCCGAGGCAACGTGCGATCATCTTAAATCTACGATCTACGAGCTGCCAACTTGGCAAAAATGTGTAGTGAGAGGTCGCGTGACTGTCTACCCAGTAATGCAGACAATGACATAAAGAAAAGAGGAGTTCGGAGTCATCGTCCTTTGCGGGAGGAAGAACTCCATGGAAAACTAGGAGATTCGGGGTGTTATGGTCGTTATGGTTCAAGTATGGACTGAGTGGAAGCTTTGTTTCAAGTGGAGTCGACAATGAAGACACTCACATTAAGGAAAGTTTAGTGGACGAGGTTGAGATGTTGCTTCCGAGGCAACATGCAGTCATCTCAAATATTCGAGAGCTACATGTTGCCAACTTTGGCAAAAACGCATTGTGAGAGGGGCCACTTGACCGTCTTCCCAGCAATACCAAGAATATATAATTAACACATAGGAAAGAAGAATTCAGAGTTATCGCCCTTCAGAATGAAGGAAACTCAATCCTTTTCGACCCAAAAAGCCACGAAGAGGGTTATTCCATACACTACAGAAGGGTGCAGAGAGCCAGAGACGAGATTGTAAAATTGAAAAATGTTAACCTATAATTATCCTAATATTTTTGTTCAGTCGACCTCCTCTAATTAACACCTTTCCTTTTCCCTAATCAAAACATGTCCACATTCATTCAGATAGTATCTCCAAAATACTAACAAAATGCTAAGATCAATCAATGTCACATTTTAGCTGAAAATTGACACAAGTGCTTGCTGCTGAAGAAATTGACATTTGAAAGGCTATCTCTTTGCTTTGCTTCCTTTAGAGTGTGGATAATAGTGATTAAGATTCTCCAACAGTGAACTAAAGAGACAAAAAGATTGCCTGATCTCTAGTCTCTATCCCTTTTCTGATAATTGCCCTTTGGTGTCACGATTAAGTCAAGTGTGTACACCATTTTGCTTTGCTCTCAAGACACAACTTTAATTTCTAACAACAAAATACTATACGGTAAAACTTGAAACGAGGGAATGGTATTGTTTGGATAGGTAACTCTCGAGAAAAAATCGTGTAAGTGTTGTCCATTCAACGATGAAATTGACAAGTTTCACTTTCTTGAACGAAAATAACCTTTGAAATTGAGGAATAGGGTGTTGGAAGAATTCCACCACTTTAAATTTTAATTTTTCTCCCGCGAAAAAAAAAAAAACGAATCTACTAAATTCCTTCAGTTGGTTTAGTTTAAAAACCATCATGCCGCTCAACTTCCTCATTCAAATGACACCAACTTGCTTATATAGTCTGTTTATACAAAAGGTAATATTCCGAGAGTTAATTACCAACTTGGTCATCAAAATTCAATACACATCCGTACAGTAGTGGGTGGAATGGAAATGCCAGCTAATAACATTAAACTGAACAGTTTTCATGCTGTGTTGCTTACGTGACAATAATTTTTTAGTTGTCACGTTAGAAACATATATGTGACAATGATATCTGACAAAGTCGAGAGACTTAATAATTAACATCTACCGGCGGGTAAATCGTGTATTTTTAGTTGTCTTAATGCTCAATTCACTGCGCATCGGTAGCAACCTCATCATATATATACACATTAGTTTCAATACGTTTTTAATCAACTCGAGATTTCGATTAAGATTAACCGTAACAATGTACAATTTCGACATGTTTTTACTACGAAGTAAAAAAAAAAAAAGAACTAAAACCTATCCGGAGTAACAAATTTGGCCTTTTAGCAGGCTTTAGCTATCTCCTCTGTATCCTCGTACCAAACCCTCTGCCTCCATCGGCGGCATGCTGATAACGACTTCCCCCGCCGGCGCCACGGTTGCCGCCGCCGCCGCCGCCGCCGCTTCTGGAATCGATACTGATGGCTGCGGAAGAGGAGTGGGAGTAGAAGTGGAAGTAGAAGGAGGAGGAGGAGTAGAAGAGGAACCCGCGGTATCGACCTCTGCCACCACCACAGTCACCGGAGCTGCTGCCACGGCCGCCGGTGCCGGCGCCGAGCAGCCGACGATTTTCTGGCAGGTCTCGATGAGGCAGTGTCGGCAAGTCGGGCAGGAAGAGTGGGAGCCAAGCCACTTGTCGATGCACTTGACGTGGAAGCCGTGGTTGCACTTGGGCAGGATCTTGACCCGCTCGCCGGCGGCGAACTCCGACAGGCAGATGACGCACTCGGCGTCGAGCCCGGGGAGGTTCAGCTGGTCGGAGAAGCTGACGGTGGGGAAGGTCTTGAGCGCCTTCTTCTTGATCCCGGTGTTGGCCAGCCTCGCCGCCGCCGCGGCGCCGGCGGCGCCGGGGGACTGGTCGGCGGCGACCAGGTTGGAGCACCGGAGCGCGCAGCGGATGATGGAGTTGAGGCCCAGGGAGCAGATCAGCGCGCAGAGGAGGACGGAGAGGACCATCACCACGTTGGCGTCGAACGTGCTGTCCGTCGGCGTGCTGTTGTACGGCTCCGCCGTCGCGGCCGGCGCCGGGGAGGAGTGGAGGAGCCTTCTTGCGATGGTGAATTGGAGGGTGGAAGCCATGGTTGATTGATCTTTGGGGCTTAATTGAGGGTTTTAAGGAGTAGAGTAGTGCTTGACTTTGTTTAAGTGAAGAATTGTGGGAGAGTGGTATTTATAGGGGAAATGAAAAGGGGAAGGGTGGGAAAGAGAGGAAAGGTTTGGTTTGAAACTTCTTATTGCCACTTGAGAGAGAGGATTTTGATTAGAACATATAATTTAATTACAAAACATGGGCAATCATTTCCTTTTTGATTAATTTTGTAAGTGTTGTTTTATGGTGTATTGGTGTTGTTGGGAGGGGGAGGTGGAGAGTTCAAAAAGTTTTCTCTTAAGTGTTTGTCTAAGTCTGATGTTGATGATGATAATGTATACAAATACGAGAAAAAGTGTTGTGCTTGTCAATTCTTTCATGAAAGGTTTTATACTGTTGTTTTAACGCTTCAGGTGATTTATCGCGTTAGTTTTGATTTGTTATGTATTTTTGTGACTTTCATGATTATATGTAGGAGGTGTGCAACAATTTGGTGCACATCGAATTAAATCGATATTTGGACCGATCCAAACAAGTTTATGTGATCTGTTTCTTAGTTCATGAATTTCTATAATATTAAAGAAAAATATATGAACATATAATTGGATTGGCCAAACCAGACTAATGCACTTACGATTCTCGTCCTGAACTTGTATTTAGTTTTGGTTTATAGTGATTTTCGTTAAATTCGTCCCGGTCTGGACCTAGCCATTGTGCATCCCTAATTATATAACTAGGATTTGTGATGGGATGTCACTATAATAAGTTTGAGTGGTCATTTTCTCCTTCAATTTTGTCTAATTTGTAGGATCTTTTTTCTCCTTGAGAGTGAAAAATGCTCAATTGACAAGTCATCTTCTTGAGGAAACATAAATGGATAAGAGAGACCAATCATCAATATTTTAGGGGCTTTTAGGGTTTTGTACATAGCCCACATTGGGGTAAGGAGGTAGCTGGCTAGCTAGCTAAGAGTGTTTTATTTTATCTTTTATTTGCTTTAGTGCAAGGATCAAACCATATAGATTCCCCACTTAAAGCTTTCCAATGTGTACGTGTATTTTAATAGCTAAATTACAAGAATATCATCCGATTCAGGGTCGTTAACAAATCGATCACTAAATTTGAGATTTTAATAGATTGTTGTCAAAGTTTGGAATATAGCAAACATAGTTAATCACTTCATCCATCCCTATTTCCCTAGGTCCTCCGTTGAACTGGTCAATTTTTATCACATATTCCAATTCGAAGAAAAATAAGTACTCGTTCCAGTTTCATATTCAGACTATTCAAGATCATCCAAATCCCTCTTCTTACCCGTAGTTTATTAAAGGGGTCGTCTATGTTACTTTTTATCTTTCTATTTTAGGTAAGCTAACACATCAATAAAGACGAGAACTTGACTACGATAGACACAGTCATTTTATCGTCCGTTAATTTGATATTCGATTACGAATTTGCCCAAAATTCATAGTTGGGTGACTGATTTGCTATAGAACCCATAATTTAGTAGTGATTGTTTATGCATAATTGGTTGTTTCCCCCTCACTAATGGGGTGTTCTATCTCTTATCAATGGAGAGTTGTTGTGGGGTCTTCTCCCACTTTCAACGAGCAAGGGAATTCCCCATTCTCAATCAAATCTCTCACAAAACTGAAAACCCTAATTTTGTATGTAATGCTTCAAGGGTCCCATGTATGCCCCATAGGAATAGGAGGGCTCATGAAGCTTCCCATGTGCAAAACCATTGGCTTCATTATCTTTATATTAATTTTATTACTTTGTTTTTGGCTTTAGGAAAGTATTGGTTTACACTAAGTGGGAGGAGGTTTTGATACATGTGTAGTACTAGGATAGGAGTTTGGGAAGGAGGGTTTATTTTAAATGTGACAATTATGGGTAGTTGTTTATTGGTTTGTTAATGACCTTTCACTGTAAATTAAAGGGATGTGCATTCCCATTTGAGTCATACTCAACCGATGATGGTCAGTTGGGATGAGTGTAGTTGAGCTATTGTAATCCTCAAATGTGTGGAGTGAGTCACTAGTTTTGTAACTTCTTAATTAATTACCTTCTAACTTATCACCAAAACTAAATTAGTGAACTTTTTTGACTAATCCATCAATTTAGAGACCCAGCAAGTGTATCGGCTCGAGCACTCATTTCAGATTGTGTATTGGTTTGCTTCTAGTTGTGAATCGTTAGTGGACGGTGTCACTCCGAGTCCAGATAATAATCAGGGTTTAATTCTAATAACATCGAATCAAATCAGACAATGAAGTGATTCGGATTTTTTAGAGTTGAGGTCCGACCAGAGGGAGATCACTTTTCACTATGAAGTGAATATGAGTTAGGTAAGAGATATAAGATCATTTTCGAATCACGGGTATTGATCTAGTTATGGATCGAGATAGAAATTTTCCAACCTTCTCAAGTTCAATTTCATTATCGTATACGTGAGATTTTATGTTAAACTTAATGCTGATAAGTTACCTAATCTTTTGTGTTGATAGGCATTCTTGGTTCATCCTTTATTCTACAGAAAGAACACAATATTTGACCATGAGGTACGACGTGGTTGTTGAAAATTTCTTTTCTTAAACCAACCGAAGCGCACTTTATAATCAGAAGTTTATCGCCCTTTTTGCGACGATCCATATGAAGGCTAGAGTACAAGGAAACTAGATTCTGAATTCTCATTATATAGGGAATTGAAAGTACTTTTCTCAAATTCTCATTCAATCCGAAGAAACCACTTTGAGAAAAACATATATATCTACTCGATCATGTGCAAGGCAAACCCATTTTCATGGGAGGGCATATTGGTGGTATGTTCACTAGTGGGTGTCCAAAGGCTCAACAGAAGTAGTTGTGGGTGCCCTCATGATCATGTGCGCTTCCCTTTACCTTCTAATTGTATATGAATTCATTTGTACTAAAAACTCGACGAAGTCGAGATCATGTATCATTTCATATCATCATATAAATCTTTTTAATTGGAAGTTTCTTTGTTGAATCGAAATTCAATTTAAAACTTTTATGCCTTGTCCTTGTGCTTAATCAAATGTTAATACTTAATACGAATTGAAGAGACAGAAACAAATCCCATCGGGAAAGAATCGAAATGAATAAAAATCAATAGACCAACACTCCAGAAACATACGTTTTTGGAGATTAACTTCTCTAACTCTTATGTGATTTGTGGTCGTGACTTTGAGAAGCCTTATCAACACACACTTGTAGGCCATACGTGAAGGGAACATCCATGTGAATCTTAGCTTTTGTGGCATATAACAGAAGAATGCTCTGTAGGCCACTTCAAACTTTTTTTTTTGTTTGCAGGCTAGGGCATTCATTATACAGGGAATCTTGGATCTCCCATATCCCAAATGTCCCCACATGCTATAGGCTAGAAAACTATATATGAACAACTACAATTACATAAAATTACATCGAAGCGGTGGTTCGTCAGATTGCTCGTGAGTTGGAGTGAAACATGGTTGCTAGTTTCTGCTCTTCGAGAATGTCTTCCGATAACTCCATTTTAAGACGCAAGCTTAAAGTTTTAGGGTTGATGTCTACCAGGTTAGCCAACTAGACTACTTCTAGAGTGACATGCAAAGTCCTTTCTCTATTTTGTCTGGAGTTCAGTTTATACAACTACTTGGTGTGATTACGTATCTGTGTATGGAACAAGTTGTTCCACTGCACTTTACTCGTGTTACGTGTAAAGGATATTGCAGAAAGCTGGACGACATTCGAAAGTACGACAAGATGTACCAACAATCCTACATAAAATAAAGTCCCTCATGGACTTTAGTATTGGTAAAATATAGGCATGCGCATATAACTAGCAAGTGACATATTTCAGCAATCTTTAAGGTTTCTACATGTTGGGGCATATAAACTAAAACCAGCAGGCAATCCTTGAGAAGATCTTGGAGTTTGAGTGCTTTTTCACTCCTACCCTTATCCTCATGTTTGTAATAATATTTGTTTAAAACCCAAAGCAAAGAGCTTTTGAGCATTAACCTTCAACTTGGTGGATTAATCAATAATAGTGAGTAGTTAACTAATGTAATTAAGACAGGGGGGAGAAAGGGTATTAATGGTCCCCCTAGATGAAAACCCTCATATTCTAATTGAACTTTTTGCCACCACCTCCTCACTAATGCACTTTTCTAGAACACAATTTCTCACTGCAAGTAGATCTACAAGCAAATATTGCCATCAATCAATCCAACAAAGCCAAAAATATGTTGATTACTATTAAAAAATGGAGAGGGGATTGATTAATTAGCAACACACCATGTATTGGTGCTTATGGCTAAGATTAAAGCAATATTCTTTAGATCTTTGAGAGATAAGAGAATCTGTATATGGCAAATATAATAAAACCTTGGGCAGTTAATGGCATTAACGTTTGAGCAAGGATTTAGCTCTTAGAGAGTGGTTTACTGGTAAGGCGAACCCTAAATGTTTTTTCAATGAGATTCAATAGAGTTTGCTAGGTGCCAATTAGATGTATAAAGAGGTGTGTTGGTAACTAAAGAAAAAAGATGAATCAAACGAAATTAGATAGTCGATTGGCCAGTACCAAATGACTTTATTGGAGATAGTTTGGTAAACTTAGAAAGAGTAATAGATTAGTTTACCAACTTGTTCATTCAGGGGGAGATCCAATAAAATTGGAACAAGGTAATGGAGAAGATTGGTTTACCAGCTTTGATCTTCTGACATCTATGGGTTAGGGTTATGGCTGAAATCGTTACTCAACTCAAATTATAAATTCTGTTGCTATAGAGCATTTCATGAGGGATGCCTTTGTAAATGAAACATCTTTATATGAGTTTGTTCAGTATTTTCAATGTCAAATTTTACCCTTCATTTCGATGAATGGATTCGTCAAAGAAAGGTTTGAAGAGAGGTATGAGGGCAGCTGGTTTCTATCTTTATGGATTCCTCATAGAAGGGCAAAAGGTTCAGTTGAAACAGTTGAGGATTATTGGTGGCGCTTGGAGTGATTTGGATATGAATAAAATATCTAGAAGAAGTTAAAGGGACAACACAAAAGGTTTTTTTGGATAAAAAAGAGAAGCTATAAAGGGACACAACACAATTGGAAGAAAGCAAAAGTTAGTGGAGGAGTTGGGATTTGATTTACATGTGCACAAAATTTTTTTTGGGGGATTTTCTTTTCTTCTATTTTCTTTCTCCCCCTTTTTGGAACTTAATTTGTTAAATAATTATTAAAATGGATGGGGGAAAAAAATTCCTATGCAAATGAAATGAGATTGCAACAAGAAGTTACATTACACAATTAGTGCTTAAGATACATCAAACTCTTTCTATCAAAATTCACAAGTTCTTTCCATTTGTCGTGCAAATGTGATTATGAACATGTGCTCGAGATTAATCAATGGGTATTTCATTGGGGGAACTAATTGTAACTTGTAGGAGGGGTTAGGGCTAAGAGGACTTAATGAACTTGATTGCATAGGTTATCATTTTGATAGATATAGATCCAATTAGTGTTATTTCGATATTATCGTAGTGTATTAAAATATTGTCAACTAGTAAATTTAGATTTCATATTCTCGTTGGGCTAAACTAAACTAGTGATCAAAATTCAAAGCATTACCTCTGGTTTGTGAATTTTGTGTATAAAGTTTCACCATAATTCGAAAAGTCCTAGCTAGGCGGTTCTATATTTTTGTAATCTGATCGAATCTCTTATATCCTGAAGAGGTTTTTCATGATGACATTTTTGTACCTAATTAAAAAATTTAAAATTACATATAAGTCCAATGCGTAGATGACACTCGAGTTCATGATCCAGTCTATCAATCCATTAATCTACCAATTCATTTAATTTATGAATTCATTAATTCAATCCATTTACCACCTCAATTTACTATGGTTCTCCACAACACCACAACAGAAGAAGAAAAAAACTCATATTATTAGAAATTTGTTTGTGCATGCATCTCTTCCTCTTCTCTTCAACTTGGAGGATTCATGGAATATGCAACACGTACGTGGCTGGCGGCTAAGCCTTTTCAGCGATATTATATATACCATTTAGTTACATGCAAATCACTTTGTTAAACATCAAACGTGATGGGATAATGTAGGACGAATATAAAACCCCATTGTTTTAACTTTTTAAGGATACTTTTTATTTGGGCTATGATTCTCATTGATGATCAACATCACATCAACAAATGGTTCACAATTGAAAAATGAAACTCTCTCCATAACTCAAGTTATTGAAATCAACTGATTCTTAACATGATATCAGAGTTTTCAGTGACATGATAGTCTTTTCTTCAAATCCCAATGACCTCATTTGTTCTGTTAACCACATGATGATGTCTGACCCTATGCAAATTTCAAGCTCATATGAATCGGCTTTCGTTTGAATGAGTGTAATTTGTTGAGAGAGATTCAATTATGGATCATATACCATTTTTAACATACTATAGTACTCCGAATAAAAACATTTTCGAGCAGTGAATTTCTTTCAATGCAAAAGAGAAAAATAGTCTCTTTTAACCTAGAAAAAGTGAGTGAGGTTGGAGGAGAGGAGATAAGGATAGAAAGAGAGCAGCTAATGGGTAATGGGTAGATAGAAAGCACTTGTTAATGTCTTTCATATATACACAAAGATCGACTGAAAATCCCACCATAAAAGTCCATTCCCTCAATAATAAAGAAGAAGAAGAACAGCAAAGAAAGGAAAGGGTAAGCAAGAAGAAGAAAATGGCAGGAGAGTTGTTATAATTGGAAGAGCCGAAAAGTGCCAATAAACTGCAAGTTATGAGGGCAAAACTGTAGAAAAGAGTGATTAGATTATTAGTATATTATAATAATGCTTTGCTGCTTCTCACTGCTGTGAACAGTCACAGTGCACCAGCAGCAGACAGCCAAGCTGGTTGATGATTAAAGGCCTGCAGGCTTGATCAGCATGTGGAGACAGCCAAGCTTTGGGCCCATGCAAGAAGAAGTAGTAGTAACTGCAAGCCGCCAAAAATCTATCGTCTCGGCAGTTCAATTGGAAAAATCATTTTGTTGAAGTCCACGTTGGTAGACGGTTTTATCGCCACGAAACAATTGAATCAATAATTAAATAACGGTTTAAATGTTTAATCACAGATTAAGTCAAGGGCGAATTGGGATAACCGACAATACAAGAAAGTAAAGAACACACAAATTTACATGTGTCTAACACAAATATGTGTTAGTTAGTATGTGGGCAGGAGAGCGCCATTTTCGGTATGCTTGAGGAGATTACAGATTACAGAGGGATTGAAAAGTATATATAGTATTTCTTCGGACGACCTAACACTAATCCAATCTGATAAATAACAAGGTTACAGACCAAATACAAAATAGAAACCCAAACGTGTATAAGCCCCATACAACGTGGATCGGGGGCAACCCTTGCTCTCACGAGCCCCCCTAACCGGGTCCTTCGCTCATGGACCCCCGACTTGACGATCGGACAGCGAAACCCCTTGATTTCAAGTTGATGACAGATGATCTAATTCAAGTCATATCAACGATATACCCTGCTACTATATTTTCATGTACAACATTCGGTAAGGTTTTACAAGACCTTGCATAAAACTAAGTGGTTAGTGGTTGTATGATGCTTTTGGGATTCGATTGATATGTAAAAATCGTGCTAGCTAAAGCTGCAACTTGACAGTTGGTGTCCTTTCTCTATATATAATCTCAGTGGACAGTTGCCTAGCTGCTGTTTTTTTCTTTTGGAACATGCTGCTAGCTTGGCTTTGCTGTTGTTCACTTTAAGTGGTCCATCACTCTATTTCTGCGGGCGTGTAAAGTGGCTAAGCATCCTATTGTATTTGGATGCTCAAAGAAAGCACAAATTTCTAACCAATTTTAGGTTAAGCAGAACAGGTTCGAACTGACTTCGTGATGAATTCGGCATAGATACATATTGATAAAGTTAATCGTCGATAGAGATTCGAATATGATCGAAGATTCGAATATGGATCTTATATTAACCTTTTATGCTAACTTTTCTGTAGTGGTAACAAGTGAGCACACATATAGGCATACAACATGTAATTCGACGACGCAGTCACAAAGACAAATAAGGTTTTGTGACAACGGGGCCTACTAAATCTGGGGGACCACCTGCAATCAATTTGACGCCAATAGGACTTCGCCCACAGTAGCCTTATACCTCTGAGAACACCAACGGGCCTCGCTTGGATTCGAACATGGGATCTGCAACTCATAAGACTTCACTGTCGCAACAGCTTTACTCTACTACTTCAATGTTATGAGTTGATAAACTTTGAATCAATCTTGGGCTCAGCTTTGGTAGCCAAAACCAAACCAATGGAGTTTAACATTTTGCAAGGTCCACCAAAGTATGGCTCGATTGGGCTGAGCACAGAACATCATGGGCCGCCTTCTAAGAGTCAGCCCAAGTTAGATCCATGGACTCCAATGACCAATTTATGGAAGTGGGCCCAGCAATCAGACGGAAACCGGGGCCCACACAAGTTTCCTTGACGAGGAAGAAGCAGAATCAGTCGCTGAGGCTTCGCTCTGCCTTGCCAGCAGAGAACCAAAAAGCCGTAGCGTCGGTACACAGTATTAGCAAGTAGATAAGGCAAGCTCCAGCGGCGAATTCCCCGAATCTCCCATATCTTCTTCCGCCCAAATTTCTCTCACACCAGAAAAAATCCCATTATAATCGCGGAGAATCGCGACGACCCCCCATGGACTCAATTTCCCCCTTTCTCTTCTCCTCCTTCTGGGATTCCGGCGAGCCATCGGTGAGTAACTCAAAGCTGCTACCTTTCCGTCCTTTCTCTGGACGATACTGTAATCCGGTTCATGGGTTTGTTTGTTTTAATCTGGCAGATAGACTTTTTTGGGAAGTTTCCAATACGTAGATAAACGATGAGTAAAGTTTGTTCGATCGTTTTGTTTGTTTGTTGTTTAGTTGATGATGCTATCTATATACGGATGTTCGAGGTTTTGAGAACTTGGGTTCTTCCTATCTGAGCTGAATTGAGTTTCTAATTATGGGTTTGTCGCGAATTTGAACGTCGTTATCTCTTGTTTGTTGGTTTCGCAGTAAACTATCCTTTTGGAGGTAGTTTCCCAGGGAAGGTAGTTTCGATTACCCAGTTGTTGAGATAATGGCATCATCTCACGGGAATAGTACTCATTCAGAATCTGCCAAGACGGAGCAGATCATCACTGAGTTTTTTGCCAAGAGTCTCCACATAATACTCGAGTCTAGGTCTCCATTTGTGTCCTCTCGTAACTTCAGTGGGGAACAAGCTCTCTCGTCTCCTTCCTCGTCGTCTTCCTCGTCGTCGAGTGTGAGGCCGAGGGACAAATGGTTCAACTTGGCCCTAGGAGAGTGCCCTTCCGCACTCGAGAATCTCGACCTCTGGCGCCAGAGCAATTTCGAGCCAATGGTGGTTGATGTGATCTTGGTGAAGAGAGGGCTTAGCAGGAATCAGTCGTTGAAGGAGAATAGTAATCCTTACGGCTCTGATCATGAGGAGCTCTTGTGTGGGAGGGAGGAGAAGGTTATTGAGAGGTGGATAGTTCAGTATGACACTAGAAGGCCAAGGGAAACGGGTTCCACTAGTCGCAGATCATCGAGCAATGTACTCCATACCCTGTATAAGAAATCGATACTACTCTTGAGGTCTTTGTATGCTACTGCTAGGCTTCTACCTGCTTACAAGATCTTCCGGGACCTCAATTGCTCCGGAAAGCTTCGGCCTTTCACTCTCACTCATAGGCTATCATCTTTTGCTGAGCCCTTCACACGTAAAGAGGAAGCTGAAATGCAGCGGTTTAGTTTCACTCCTGTTGAGACTTCTTCTGGAAGGCTTTGCCTTTCGGTTTTGTATCATTCATCGGTATCTGATGCTAGTTCTGAGTCATCTACTCCTATGTCCCCTCAGTTCATCCCTGATTATGTTGGAAGTCCATTGGCTGACCCTCTGAAGAGGTTTACTTCTCTGCCTGTGTCATCTCCATCGTCTCTGCCATTCTCCAGGAGGCATAGCTGGAGTTATGACCGATATAGGGCTTCACCTCCTGCTGCTTTCTCACCTTCACCGACTCATTCAGAACCACCAGCTGCCAATGCCCTTCAGTTTGGACCCGTTAATTTGCCGCCTCAGTATCCAGACAGCTCTTCGATTCACAAGACCAATTACGGTTATGATGAGTACTATCCTTCTCCTAACTTCACACCCTCTCCTTCCCCATCGCCACCTGTCTACATGCATGGGAATCATCTTTCGAATGCAGCACTGTTACGAACCGAGAGTGCACCTGTCTGCATACCAAAGCTCAAGCTCAACCTTCAGCCATCTCTTCCAATGAATGATAACATCAGACCATTACGTGGTTCTAAAGTAGATACGAGTACAGGTTTGCCTCACACTGGTGTGTCGGTTGAAAAGGTATTCTGTTTGCTTATTTACAAGGTTTGATTCAGGATGCACTTGTATTGATCAGGGATTGCTTTTTCTGTTTCTGTGTAGTTGATCGTGAAAGATGACCCCAAGAAGCATTCCGGGACAAAGATATCTACCATCAGTTCTTTACAGTTTTCATTTTCTAGAAGCTCCAGCAGGTCTTTTCATGATGACTTTGATGATTCAGATTTTCCTTGTCATTTTGATGTGGAGGACGATGATCCGACCTGTCATGGTAGCAGGTAATGTTTAAGCTCACCTTTGAACGCTGAAATCACTGCACACCAAGTATATTACTGTGCAGATGTGACCACATCCGAGACATTTGCTAGTAGTTTTGCTACTTGAAACTCGATATGTACCAAGAGTTTGTAGTGCTCCTTGCTTGGGTGGTCATTGAACAATTCTAGGACCCAGTTTCAGTATTTAGATATGCTTAGAGGTCGTTTGGACGTAGGACTTGACTCCTTGTTTTTTTTATCAGAGAGCATCGAAAAAAGGTGCCAAGGCTATCTTGCAGAATCCAATACTTTTCAAATCCTACATCCGAATGCAACCCTTATGTTCGCTGAACAATGTCATTCCTTTGTTATCTCTCTTCAAGCGTGAACTTGTTGTCCTGCACTTCTTTCTTCCAGGCCTGAATCTTTTGATCAGAAAGCTCATCTTGGCGACCAGCTGGATCCCCAAGGTGGAGGGATCTTCCCCATCAGAAAATCACAAGATGCTGCAGTAGGTGCCCTTGTCCGGATGCTGAAGAAAGCTCCACCTCTACGCCAGGAACTCTCCTCTAGCAACATCGATTCAACTCACGTGTCCAGCACTCAAGCAGAACAGCCTCCCGATACCTCGTCTTCTATTCTGGTTGCATCAAAGACAACTGCTGATGCATTGGAAGAGCTGCAGGGTTACAAACGAATGAAGGACTACCTGCTTAGCCAAGGAGGCGGGAAATGCAACGTTGCTGGTATATGTAAGTAGGGTTTCTTTCAGCGTCTGTTCTGTTCTCTGAACAAGTTTTATGTTCAGGAAGTTTGGGCCTCTGTACAGAACTGCAAACTCCTTATGCCTCTTCAAGGATTGGGAATCTTTTTTTTTTATTTGCTCGAAGTATATAGCCCTAAAATGATCATATATGTAAGCGCCCACATTCCCCTTGTGTATAGAGAGGCGTTTTAAGATGAGTTCACAAGTCCATTATCTGCAAATCATTAGCTTCTTTCTGCTGTACAAAAGTGCAGATCTCATATTGGATTAGTTACTAATGGTTTGTTCTATTTTCTCCGGTTGAACCGGAAAAATTCGTAGTATGTTTATACTGAAATTATGATTGTACCATTTTGTAATGTTAAAAGCCTCTTACTGGTAAGAGTTCTTTCGAGTCAGATTGTCGGTACGTTTCACAAATATTGGTTCTCTCCCTTTTATATGGAAACATGAATTTATTTGAGATGAATCTAATTCTAGTTAGTAGTGGGCAGTCATGGTGGTTCAACTACGTCAAATCGAATTGCATTTTTGGTTATCAAACTGTCATCGCAAAAGTGCGAGTAGTGTGATTATGTGGATAGAAATGAATGTTGAGCCATGTTATTTGCTCTCTCAATGCGGTAGAATGACACGATTGTCCACCTCTAATTCTGATGTATGGTGATCTGACTTGTGTTGACATGTACATTTCTCAAACATGCTTCTCGTTGTTATTTGCTCACACAAAACTATTCACAATTATCTTCATAAACGTGTTCATACAGATCATCCATCTTCCTAATAAGATCGCTGCAATTTTAACTTAAATTTCAATTTCTTTTTGATGAGATTCCTCTGTAGTGACCTCTTGTTAAATTATGATTATGTGTTTTTGGGCTTGTTAGAAAAGTAGAAATGTGTCGCCATTTTCACTTCTCACTATCATCAATCATCACATAAGCTATAGGTAAAACAAACCCAACATCATAAACTACTACCATATTCATCATTTTTTGAAGGTGACATGACATGTCCTTGTGTTATTTTCTTCTGTCTTTATTATTTGTATTTTTGCAGATAATTATTTTTAAGCGAATTAAAGCTTATTGGACAGAAACTCAATATGTTGTGTGGTTAGAGATGTGATTAAAACGTTTTAAGTTAACTAATCCGCTGTCGTATAGCTAATATATATTTGTTGGGGGTCAAAGAAAAACGGCGGTTTGTGGACTTACATAGATCAAAGTGACGATTGTGGTACTGATTACGTAAAACCAGGTTTGACTTTTATGTTTAGGGAAGATTCTCTTTGGTTAATTGGGTGAATTCTGGTTTTGTATCGATATGGAAGGTTCTGGTAACCATTTCATTACTTTAATCTATTAGAAGATGACATCTAATATAAATATATAATTTACACTTTTCAAGTAAAACTCAATTCATAGGCTTGATTTTTGTATAGACTCACCATACATTGTGTTTAAATCAACTGTTGATATTGTATTCGTCAAAGATTTAAATATTTGGCCTCTTGATAGTCAGTAGCTTAAATACCATTTCTATACCTAGTTGATCACAAGAGAGAGATAAATATGAAACTTATACCATTCGCTTACACTATACAGTATACTATTACCTTCATTAATTGCCTTCAACTTGTTAATATCCTTTTATGCGATCCTTCTCGTTACGACCTTGGAAATGTAATGTCCGAATTCTACCTATTAAAACTAGTTGAGTTTCGAGACGACGAAAATCTCATATTAGAAACTCTTTCTTCGTTTAGAATGGATTTCAGATTCTTGACATCTTAATGGAAGGAAGTGGTTATGTATTATATACGGACCTCTCCCAACAATTCAAGATATTGAGATCAACTTATTTATGACATGCTATAAATATATATCAATTTCATTACATAGGCTTAACAATTTATCTCGTTATATAATTGCTCGATCATCATGAAACTTCTAAATTCTAATATTAATTTCTTAGACGATCCGACAACAACCTCCGCTCATCCATCTCCAACTTGTAATTGTTGTCAACGAGAGTAATTAATTAATTTTGTAATTGATTATCTATTAATTACCATTTACGCCCACACAAATCAATACCAATTAGTTAATTGTAATCGATCCCGTCATGTACTCTATATAATAATAATAATATGCATGGTCTTACGTTGATTTGTTAGGTAAAAATCAGTTAAGATTAACGGCCGGCTTCTTACTTCTTAAAAACAGCATAATTTAAAAATTAGCAATTGGGTTAAAAGTTAAAACTCAAGGCTTGCGTTTAAGAAAAAAATTGCATTGTCATTTGTGCCAAAAAACATTATACTTTCTTCTAGAATATTTATTTTCTTTCTGGTTTAATCATTTCTATTAATGTAAACGAGGATTTGATTTAGTGGTTTGTTCTGGAGATTTCAAATTCGAGTTCCAGTAAATTTTTGTTTTCTCTAAATACCCTTTCAGTAGCTTCTAAAACATAAAGTAATTTCAAGTAATTAACACAGTTAACTACACCACAACAAAGAGTACCGTTGATCAGGTTAGGCAGTTGCACCCATTTTGCCAATTAAGTGTCAAATATGAAAAGCTCGGAAAGCTCGGGTATCAGATCAAATAATTCATGAGAATAATTCAAATTATCACGAGAACTCTAACAATATATCTTATACTATTTTCTTATAATTTCTCGAAGTAACGCACATAGAAACTTAGAGGGATTGAATGAATAATGAATTGGTTTGTGGTACTATGAGGATAATTTATTCTAACCAAGTCAATATATACAAATGTATTACATCCACCCATTTACCTCATATAAAAATTTCATATCTTCAGACATCATATTCAGATTAGTTCTAATTAACCCATTTAACAAATAGGTCATGTAGATGTATTCCTGACAAGTGCATATTTTAAGTTCTAATTAGTATTATTTTACAAAGATGCATGGTTATCTTCTTCTAATGCTTGATTAATTATGAATTGGGGAGGGGAGTTGGTGTAGTAATCATCCACAATGACACCAAAACGACAAACTTTTTTCACATAAAAATGAACAGTAGCTATCAATCACGAAGCATCATAAGCACAAATTTGAGGAAACAATCATCTATTGATTACTACAACTTCCTAACTAATGTGCTCAAGACTAATTATCAATAATAGGGAGAGTCATGCTGCATGCGAATAAAAATTTGGTCTAGTGGTATTATCACCAGTCATGACTCATCAACTTGTAGGTATCGTGTTAGAATTTCTTGAGTAGCATGACTTAATGTAGGCCACGAACCTCCTCGCATTAATGTAGCTTCGTCACTGTTCGCGAGAACTAAAATAAATCGAGTCTATTCAAAACTAAAATGTGTACAGATTTGCTAGACCAAATGCTATTGAAAATTTTTAAACCCAATTTCATCATTAAGAATTCATTCCCACCAAAGCAAACTACAAGAAAAACAATCTATGGGCCTCCATACAAAACAACTAAAAAGTTTTAGAAAGTGACACTACTAAGTTCGATTTGTTCACTCTATTTTTAATTAAACTCCAATCTCATCCTAATGGGTGAAGACTTTCTGTCTCTTTGGCAAGTGAGGTGACCTGTCTGGCGTGGCCTCCCCCATTAATGATGGAATAAAAACACAGAGCTCACCATCATTGACTTAAACAAGAACCTTGCCTATATGTGGTTCACATAACTTCATCAAATTTAACAATCGAGAGACGGTCGGTCGAGGTTAAATTAGTTTAATTTGGGGACAAATTGAGGCGGGGTAACTATCTAACTTAAAAAGATTCATCGTTTCAGAGACTTTATTCGGGTAGATAATGAACCCGATAGCAAATGAAATAATGATTCATGAATTTTATTCGGGTTACTCTTATGCTCATACTATAGCCTCAAAACAAACCAAAGGTCCAAATTGGTAGCATGCATGTTCCTTGTAAATTGCAATATTCACAAAAATTGAACCTTCATGGCAACAATGAATAGGAAAGGGGATAGAGAGTAACTTCATGTCGGAGTCCTCTGCTAACTAAATGTTTTTGTTTCTCGGATAACTCGAGTTACGTTATGCAAATATTATCTAGCTGACCTTGTGGGTAGATCCATCGTCTCCATTACCTTCAACAAAGCATAGTTAACATGATGACCTTATGCTTTCTGAAAAAACAACTTCCGCCACACCATATTCTTAAATCAATAAGTTCATCGCCAATAAGAGTCGTATATACTCATAATTTGTATCTTCCTGATGGATACAAGGTACTTTATCGACGAAAAATAATACTCTCATGCATGCAAAATACTCTATAACATAAAGACACTAATCGTAACAAAAATTTAATTACTTGATAAACCGTATGCATTAAATCGAATAATATTGTCTTATCAAAATTTATTTTCGCTTCGACGGGCTTCTCCCCTCCGATAAGAAACCCTAGAATTTATTTTTCTTCTTTCTTTGTAATTTTTTTATTATCGGAAACCCTAGACGATGGTTGAGACTTTCCCCTTTTGAAATAATGAATTATACGTTCATTGGTTGGGTGGCTAAAAGGTGACATAATAGAACATAACATGTATAATAATATGTTTATGGTCCCCAGCAGTTTATGCTCGGCATATTCAAGCAAGTCGCAATTTGAAGCCACAATCTTCCGCCGCGATTCATTTATATATCTGTAATTATTTTAGGGTTTGATTATTTTGTATCCATCGATGATGCCCCAATTAATCGAAACTAACTAATAATTAGTGATGACGATGCATTGGTGTGGGGTTGTAAAGTTGTTGGTAATACTAATTAGGGGCAATTGATTAATGATCACATAGCTCGAGACGGGTAACAAAATGACACGAATATTTAAAATCCAACAAAAAGATCATATATGTATCTTGATATAGCAAAATTAACCGAGTATGTTGGATTGAAAGAGATAAAACGACTATTTTATTATATTATAATACGTAAATGAGTTTTTTAATACATTTTGAATGTTCGAAAGCCATATTATTACAGACCCAAACTTATATGAGCATTTTCCTCAACCACCCTACTAATTGTAGTAGCTCCAAGAAAACTTGGGAGTTCAACAAATCAATGTTATTAGGGTGAGTGTAAGGGGCGGTATAAAACAAAAACTGCCTTTGAATTTCTTTTGATGATAAGTTAAGTTATTAGGTTCTTGAGCATTGGATGTGACTAGGTTTTTGGAAGGTACAATCGAATATCATTTATCGATGGTAATTTTCTAATTTTGTGCGGGAATGGTGAAATAAGATAAACTAGATAGCGTTTAGAGTGAGGAGATACTAATGTAACTTTTGATGTACGAAGATGAGTAATAAGAAGGAAGCGTCTATACACCGAGTAGTTCATCAAAACGTAACTAGTGTGCTAGTGAGATGCTTGGAGGATCAAATTAAACACATGTTTTGTGAATGTGATTAGTAATGAGTGTGGCCTAATGAGAATTAAGATCAAAGACAAAATTAGTTCGTCTGTAAACTTGACTGTGTCATGGACTTGCCATCGAAGAGCTATAAGGCGCCGAGTCTTAATCAGAAATGGTCATACTGTGCACGAGAATCAAAGTTGTGTTGCGTCTTGCACTGAGTTACAATAATCAAATATTATTTTGGAGAACTTCTTACATACACATTTTAACTCAAGGCCAATGTCGTTAGTATTTACAAAGTTAATTAACTCGAGAACATACTTGTTAAATACCAAGGTATTCGCCAACGTAAGTTTTATCGAGTGGTCGTGACGTCCTATTTTAAACCCATAAATCTTGATTTCAATGTTATTTAAACCAAACACCAAATCAACCCTTAATTATTTCTCTTGTCAAGTGGACACCTCACTTAAATTAGCTGGCTCTCTCTCTCTCTCTCTCTCTTTTCAAAATGAATTGCTGACAAGATATTTTCTTTGAGAAGGCAAAATGACAAGTCATTATGTATAATTAACTATCAATTAGCAAGTGGGAGAGGGCAATAAGGCCAAGAGTTCGGCTAATATCTTTGTCGTTGCAAAAACTAGTTTGGACAGGGGATGTGTGTGCCCTCCAATTCTATATTAGTGCCCTTCACCAGTATGTTCCTTTGTGCCCTACCAGCTCATCATATATATTTTTCTCATATCATTATTTTTTTATCATAACATGACAAAATTTATACTACTTTGAGAATCGAAACCCTAATCGTGTTATATAATAGCCAATGACGAGCTTTCATATTGAATATAAAATCGAACGTAAATCTATATGGACATAATCTACGAGGCCAAATAATAAGTTGATAAAATTACTTCCTCGATATATGAGGCAGACCTAAATGATCTGATGTGTAGATGTATAGGCTCTTTTACTGCTTACAAGTTGCAACCATGATATCATAGTTATACAATCAAGTTACCCAACTATTGTTTGATAATTAAACTGTTAAACTAGCTATAGAACATCAATGATCTCCTAAAATCTCCAAGCTAATGAGAAATTTCCAAATCATTTTAGGCACCTAACAATCCACCCTTTTCACATTTGACTTTGTTTTCTTTTTTATTAAATTTTTAATTTTTTTTAGGGAATTTGAGTTTAGGGTCCTAGACTCCCTAGTAGTTGCTAAAAATAATAATTGCAACAACCTATAGCTAGTTTGGTAGCGTTTAATTTGGTACACTCATATAATTGAATGCTCAATCGTTGTCGTCCATGCTCACAATGTTTGGCGCCACACTTTCCCGTTTGTAATCAATAATATAAATTTGGGCTAAATTGCAAGTTTGGTCACTTGAATTACTAGTAAAGTTCATATTACCCACTAGAATTATTTTATTTCATCCGTAGTCACTTAAATTAGGTTAACAGTCCAAGTTTGGTCACTGGCGGCCGTTAGTCTCCGTAAACTTTTACCGATGTAGCATTCAACATTTATAGTTGACCGTTAAATGAGTGACATGACAATTAAAAAAATTAAAAATTAATATTTCTATCTTCCACCTTACGTTCATTAAACAATAAAATAAAAAACAAAACCTAATTTCTCTTCTTCTACCAGCCTCACCCCTCTCGTTGTCTTCTCCCCTGCCTCTTTGAACAAGCGTCGTCGCCATCGCCATGGTTGTTTTTGGCACCGTCGTCCTCCTTTCCCTCTGCCTCCAGAAATCCATCCCCGCTGCTGCTTAATTCTCACCCATCCACCTTTGTCGCCGCAGCCCATCGCCCACCAGTCTCAATATCTGCGATCTTGCATCCCTTTCATAAAAGCTTCGGTAGCAGCGACGTTCGATTTAACCCGCGAAGTTGGATGCTTTCTACCAATTCTCAAATTCGTTACTGTAGCCGGGGGGTCTCCGGGGGCAGGGATAATGGATAGATAATTTCTCTCTCTCAAAGAATGAGAGAGTATACCAGTCTATGTCATTTGAGAATAACCATCTCCATAACCATCTCTCTCCTAAGGGCATGCCCCTTGGGGTGACCCACTTTTGCGCGCGCACCGTCGGTCGGTTGGGTGGGTGGGTCAGCTTGAGACTATAATTTTGGAGAAATTTCGAACAAAATTAATTAATAATTAATCGGTTATTCTTTATCCTAGATAAATACGAGTTGGAAGAGGATAATCGATTAAAACAGAATATTCGAAGGATAATCCAGCAGGATTTATCTTAACCGACTCTGTTTTAATTAAGGAGTAATTATCTCCTTAATTACAGTGACTTATTCCCCACGAAAGAGGGTATATTCCTAGGGGTTCAGGTCCTATAAATAGCCGCCTCCTCAGCCTTTCTAAACACACCACAACGAGCAGAAACACAATAGAGAGAAGAGAGTGTTCAGAGAGCTCCAGTTTTCGCACAAAACCGTCGAGCATACGAGAGGAGCCATTTTATCCTGGAGACGACTGGTTGATAGTCTGTTGTGCGCATCGAGGGCAATGCCACAAACGTCTTAAAGAGAGCGACCTAGTCCGCGACTCAGCTCCAGATTTGGTAACCTCGTTCTCAATTGTTGTTCCGTTTCTAACACCATCCTCTGAAGATCCTAAATCTTTGAAGCTCTGCATGAATGATGGAAAAACTTCTCAAATTGATGGTGTAGACCTCAATAAGCAACCCTGTCATTTTTGTGTGTGTTACGGCCCTATCTTCCCAAAAAATACTCGTGTTTTACGAGACTCTGTTAAATATGCAAAACAAATGTGTACAAATTAAAGAACAAAAATCGAATTGCATACAATCAATCGGAAAGAAAATGAAGACTTTTCGCGCCACATTATGAAACAACGAAATATCACTTTCATATTTAATTAATACTTAACTATAAACCAATTTTCAAATCCATTTCTGCCTTTTCCCCCAATGATTAATCAATACCCATTTCTGCATTTTAATTTATTTCCAGATGTTTCTCCAAGCCCACACTATAAATACCATGCAAACTGTAAGTTGACTTATCATAGTTTACCTTACTCTGTTTCCAACTAAAGCTCCTCTGCTTTTAAGTTCTTCCAACAACTCTTAAAACTCTCTTTGATGATGGAACTCGAAGCAACCCATTTTCCCTTTTATCCACCAATCCATGAAACCGATCACTACCATCTACAATGCACCTTAGAAGAAGTCCTTTTTTCTTTCCAAACGGAAGATCTCGAAGAACCAGTTCTTTCTGATAGCTCGAGCGGATGGGAGATCAACAGACTGCTGGAGATCGAGTCCGATCTCTTCATGGACTTGAGCACCAGCTCCTCCCCCGTCTTCGGTCTCGACTCCGCCGAATTAACTCCACTGACGGAGGAAGACGAGGAGATGGTCACAATTGGCGACGGAGAAACAACAGGAGCGGTCACCGAATCAGAGTTGGTCGTTAAAAAGGGGTTGGATTCCGATTCTCCATTGATGGAAGAATACGAGGAGAAGAGGCTGCCAAGCCTGTTGTTGATGGGAGCTGAAGCCATCGAAGCAGAGAACTTTCCGCTCTGTTTCTCAATTATCTCCGAGCTGACTCAGCTTGGAAGTATCGTCGCTAAAACCGGCGACGCCTCTCCTTCGTCGTTAGAAAGGCTGGCCTGGTTCTTCACTCAGGGATTGCGTCACAAAGCCCAAATGAATACTTTTAGCAACGAAATTTTGCGACAGTTCCAACAACAGCCGCCAGAGCCTCCAACTTACTCTGTTTCATCCCCTGCTTTCCACATTCTCCAGGAGCTCTCTCCATACATGAAATTCGGCCACTTCACAGCCAACCAAGCGATTCTAGAAGCTGTATTGGACAATCGAAACATCCATGTCATCGATTTCGACATCAACGAAGGTCTCCAGTGGCCCCCACTAATGGCAGATTTAGCAGCAGGAGGAAGCTCCCCTGCCTCCCTGAGACTCACGGCATTGACGTTGAAGAACCACAATGCGTCTAATTTTGCGATGGTGAATCAAACGGGAAGGCTTCTGAGGGAGTACGCCGACTCGATCAACTTATCATTCGAATTTGAGGCGGTGGAGATGGCGAACGAGGACGATTTCGATGCCATTCGAGTCGATGAGAGCAGAGTACTCGTAGCGAACTGCATGATCCACCAGCTCCATACTCCATACAGAAGCTTCCCATTGCTGAAAACTTTCCTCTCCGGGGTAACGAATCGACTTGCGCCGAAACTAGTGGTGTTGGTGGAGGAAGAGGTGTACAACTTCGAGAAAATCCCATCGATGTCGTTCGTGGAGTTCTTCTGTGAGGCCATCCACCATTACACTGCGCTATCTGAGGCGTTGTCCGCGGATGGGATCGGTGGGATAGGGCTGGAGATGATGGAGAAGGAAGTTTTGGGAGTGAGGATAGTGAATAGCTTGAGGGAGTTTCCTTGTAGGGCAAGTGAGAAGTTGGAGTGGGGGGATGGGTTTGAGTCTTTGCAAAGATTGTTCAAGGCAAGAGCTTTTAGTCACTATAATGTGTCTCAAGCTAACTACTTGGTGAGCTTGTTTAATGGTGGCTATTGGGTTCAACATGAGAGGAATCGGTTGGCATTGTGTTGGAAGTCTAGGCCTTTGGTGACGGCTTCGATTTGGTTGCCAAAGTGTGGAAGGAAGAGAAAGAAGTAGGCATTCTAGTCCGAATTGTTAAGGGCGTCATTAGGACTCTTTTACGATGTTTCTGTAGGAGTGGATGCGTTCTTTTTTTGTAGCATTAGGTGTGTGCGGAGATTAGAGTGTTTATCAAGAGTAGAGAAGACTTCTATTTCATTGTACATATTATGAATATGATGTTACCTAGGGTGTACTTTAAGTCTAATATTGATGATCATATGAAATAGTTGATAGTCAATATGTTTATGTAGTGATAAGTGATGGTTCGATTTGCTCGATAGTTAAGAGTATTTATCTAGAGAAGGATGTAAAAAAGGAAAGAAAGAAGGGAATTTGAGCTAGTAATTCGTTTGTAAATACTATGAAAATGATGTTACTTATAATGCACACTAAGTTGCATCGATGTTACAGGAAAATGACAATGACAAATAGTCGTATGCTAATTTCATTTATGAACACGAAGATTTTAAGACAAGAGATTTTATCATTCAAAAGTTTCAAAATTCAAGTATTTCCTTCTTGGACGTTCCTAAAATTAAGTAACTCAACATTTTTTTTTTATACAAAGGGATGGATAGAAATATAGAATCATAGAATACTCATATAAAAAAGACTAATCCCCACCTAAACTATCACGAAACCCTTAGATAATAGTGTTTATACCAACTAGCTAACTAATTAAATTAATCTATTCTAACCCAAATTGGAGGTGCGACATCAAGGCAAATAAAAAGTGTCTGGATGATGAGTATGTTTTGGTGACCAAATAGAGTGCTTAATAGTTCTATAATAATGTCTTAATCGTCATGATAGTGAGGTTGTTAATAAGAGCCTCCATCTAATCACCTATAAGAAGCAATATAATGTTTGTAAGTATTATGAGTATGATGTTGTTTTCATGATGCAATAGTTGTGCCGTTGACCATTGTTTAAATGGGAATTGATGGTGACATTTTGGTAGTCAAATGAGATGCTTCTATTATCACCCAATTTGGCTCTCCTTTTGGCTTCATATATGACGTGAGAGAGTTTTTCTTGTCTATGATGGAATGAAGCAAGTTGAAGTAATAAGAGGGACTACAGTGCATACTTCGATATTATTCTGATCTCATGTATATTCAATAAACTAATGAGAGCGAATGATTTGGTTTTATAATTTTGTCAGTGATCGTAAAAAAAAATCGTATAGATTGTGAAGATTAAACTCGATAGCATAACATGAGGTATTGGTGGTACACACGACTCATTATAGATTTGTGAGAACTCGAATAGTTATGGTCGCGAGGGAATGGTACAAACCACTTATTATACATTGTTTTAAGTTATGGGTTAGGAAGATAAAAGTAGGCAATTAACTTCACAACCTTAGAATACTATGTGGGAATATTTTATTGCGAACAACAGTGACTAATCATTATGTTTCGATCGACCTCTGTTGAACATAATAGAAGTGAAATTACATCAAACTTTTAGTCTTGAACCCAATCCAACATAGTCATAAACATCTAATCTAGAAATGATCAGTTATTCGCACCGATTCGTTATCACTTGTCTTGTTTTTTGTTGATACTTTTAATGATTGTTTGATCATCCTATGTGGTGATAAAACAGTGTGATCCATTCAATTGATTGCTGCATGGAGAAAACTGATTAGATTGCTCATTCAAGTATGCATACATGATGATCTCCTTTCTTCTAACTAAAGTCATATTCTTGATCTTCTCTCGCGATGTTATTTCCCATTGCTTTGAGTAATTAGTTTAAAGAGTCCTCCAAAGAATCAGGGGATTATAATGTTCTTTACCATAAGCGACAGAGAGTGACTGCAAGTTAAAAAGACAGCAGCACAAAGAACCGCCTGCACTAGTCAAATCTGAATGCAATATAGAAAGGCAAAAAATAAAAAAAATAAAAACCCAAAATTTAAGACATGTCATTTGATTCCATGCAACTCACAAATCGCCAAACACTAAAAGGTCACAACTTTATGCTTCTTGTTGAAATTGACAGGTGTCTGTACAGTCATCCCATCTCTATCCAGCATTTCCATTTTAAAAAAACCTTTTCTCAAGTCAACCATGTTCTTACCTCATCACATTGGAAGATACCAAGTGATGGTGGAAGATTACCAATCGTCCAATCTTTGCTTGAGCAGTAACTTGTAGGAGAAAGTGTGAAGCTTTGACTGAGAAAAATGGTTAAATGATGACTGGTTTGAGAGTCATTGGTTGCCTGTTCATGGTTGGACCTTTTGTGTCTTGCAGGTTAAAAAGGGTTATCAGCTATTACAGGCTCTTCTGTGATAAGATTGGAAGTCATATTCTTCTCATTGTTCTGTGCCATAATGGTTAAAGACTATGCAACCATATATACATACATAGGAACACACTTGCAGTGTACTTACAGGAGTTGCTTTGCTACAAGAGGACACTGTTATAACCAGGGAAAGGATCCTGCAATGTCTCTTCGTCTGATCTGGCTCTTAAGATAATGGGTTGGATTTCCCAATTCCGTTTCCTTGCCCGACAAGAATCGATGACCATAAAACTCTTCAAAAGACAGTCTGTGCTCTGCAGCAATGGAAAATGGAACAACCTCACCGGATTATTAGTTATTACTCTTCCTCTCGAGTAAGTGAGCGATAACAAGAATCAAGTTCGGTTCAAGGTAAAGAAGCTTCAATCACATCGAACCTGGGTTTGGAGAGAGCAGTTTTGAGCATACATCTATGCAGTCAGGATGCAACTGTGGAAGTACGAGTTGAGAGAAAGGAAGATGCGCGGATGACTTGATATTCTGCAGCAGCTGAAGCAAGGTAACCAGAACCAGATTAGTTTTAGAATGTGAAGAACATCATTCGGAGAAATGTTTCCAACTTTACAAGACATATATTCTACCTGGACATTACTTCGGCCATGAAAAGGTGGGTACCCATTGAGAAGTTCGAAGAGAATGGCACCAGTACTCCACATGTCAACCTATATGAATCATACCTCATTTCCCAGATTACTCAAGTTGGAAGATAAAGAACGACAGGAAAGAAATAGATAGAAAGATCTTCACCTTAGAACTGTATCTCTGGAATTGAAGAACTTCAGGAGCCATATACAATGGAGATCCACAAACTGTTTCTGCATACTTGCCCGGATGTATGCCTCTGCATTGTTCGGCACACTAATTTTCTTTAGAATAGAGAAAGTAATAAACTTAAATCCAATAGAGTGGGGGAATAAGAACAAGAACAAGAGTTAGTGTCTATTCCTCCACTGTGTTATTTATCTTAGCTTATTCCACTGGTGTGTAAACATAGCATAAGAGAGCACCTAGACCTTAAAATTACCTCGATAACCCAAAATCAGCGATCTTGAGAACCAGATCATCATCGTCTTGACCACTAAGTAGAATATTCTACATCAATCATCAAAGCAAAAGTGAACACCAGGCTTAGAGAACTAATAATTTAGATAGACAAGCAGCCTTTTGGTAACATGTTCAGGATTCGACATTCTCATACCTCTGGTTTCAAGTCTCTATGAACAATATGATGGCTGTTTAGCACTTCTAAACCAGCCCCTGCATTCCATTTCGCATTCACGTCATGCAAGCTTGACAGACATCTATAGGCAGAACAAAGATGTTTTACATCCATAAAACAGTATCAAATTGCCACCTAGTTGTTGCATGAATCTTCTTGCAGCTTTCTCTTCAACTCTCCCATGATTTCGAATATAAGCAGCCAAATCTCCCAAGCCACAGAACTCCAGTACCATGAACACAGAATCATCATCCTGTAAACCAAACCGGATTAGCTTCATCGAGCCTAATTCAATGCGCACAACCTAATCGAAAAAGCCACATATAAGCATTTGCTGAACTGGAGAAACTCATTACTTCTTTCAACTTAACTTAACAGTATAGTGAAACTACTCCATTCTTTGCTTAATTTTTATCGATTTGGCTATCAAAATCGGTTACCGGAAATGAATAACAACCAAGGGCAAAAGCCAGCAACTTGGTTTAGCAATGTGCAAACCCACGTCGAATTGAGATTCCTGAGCAATATAAATTCAAGAAAGAACCTAAAATTCACCAATTACAAGTTCATCCATCCATGAACCAAACCCTGGAAGAAGCACAAACCCCTCCAGAGTTCGGTTGAATTGTAACATAAAGGTTCAGTCTTTCTACTATAAACAGCAGTAGAGAACGAGGGAAAGAGAGAACCTGGAAGAAATGGAAGAGTCGAATTATGTTGGGATGGTGGACGGATGACAAGAAGCCAAGCTCGCAATCCAGACAGTCCTTCATGTGTTTGTTGAGCTTCGACAGCTGAACTTGCTTCACCACCACCGTTTCTCCCGTTGCTTTCCTCTCAGCTTTCCATACCGTCGACGACGAGCTCTCTCCCAGTTTCGATTTCAGAACATAGTCTCCGACCACCGCCGCCGCTCCGCCGTTCATATCCCCTGATGAAAATCAAGACACTATGCAACCGAAAATGCCAGAAGTCCAGAACCGTCCATTTCAACGAGGGATTTCACCATAAGTTGGAGGAGTTTACCAGGAAAAGAAAGAAAACAGTGGAGAAGGGACCAACTTGTAAATTTTGCTACAAGTTGAGAACTTGTTTGCAACTTAGCCAACTACTACTTAGAGAGAGAAGCGAAGCTGGAAAACGAGGGAAACATTCAATAACCATGGCGCCCTCGAACAAGAAAGGCAAAGGAAAGGCGGGTTCGGCAGATTCCAAAGCGTCTACAGTACCAAAACCTTCCACCGCCGGCGACTTCCCTTCATGTCTTCGGTCAGTCCCTCCGTCGTCGGTAGCCATCACCATCCACGCCAAGCCCGGCGCCAAATCCGCCTCCATCACAGGTAGGTTTTCTCTCTTCTTTCATACGATAATTTCTGTATCTCTAATTCTTCCATTTATTGGCGTCTCTCTTATTTGTTGTGGGGTTTGTTTGCTGTGTGAAGATAGATGTCAGTGACGAGGCAGTAGGAGTTCAGATCGATGCCCCTGCAAAGGACGGCGAAGCTAACGCAGCTCTACTCGATTACATCAGCTCTGTAAGCTACAACTCGAAATTTTTTTCACTAAATTTCGCAACTTTCTTAGAATTGGGGAGATGGGTTGTATAGTGAGAAAGAATATGGCTCTGGGTCATAAGAATTTGACATGGTTGGTCCAGATTTTCTTCATTGGTGAGCTACTCTAATGATGTTCCAGTCGATTCTTCTCGTTGTAGTTATGTTCTGGCCTGAATAGGAATTGGCCTGTGAAAAGCAACATTGAGCTGATTTTGGTTGGAGAGAATAGAGTTCACTCTTAGATCAAATCATGGTATTATCATTGAATTACTTATGATTTACTTGCTGGTTTGAGTTATGTAACCACAGGATTCATTCACTTAGTCTAGTTCATTTGAGTTATATCTTGAAGGCGGAACAGTAGCAGCTGTTGAGTTACTGGCGAGATGATCTTATTGTCATCGTTGAGTATTGCTTTTATGCTCAGTTTAGGAGCCTTGGCTGACCTTTTTGCATCTGTTGGAGTTTGGGCGAGAAGTAAAACACTTATGTCTGAATGAAGCCTTTCTTTCCTAAAGAAAATGAGCAAGTTAAGAAAAGGGGCCTTCCGCAACATGAACTGAGGCATAATATGTATCATCATTCCTCAAAGTTACGAATTGGGTAATAGTTCATAGTTGTTAAGCTGCGTTGGTCGTTATTACTAATGGCGATCACTTTCACGAAGGGTTCTAGCTAGTATCCTTTCCTGAGGAGAATTGCCATTTGCTTAGAGCTGACAAGGGCAAATTGACAGCTCAAGGGTTCTAGCTAGTCGCTACTGCTAATGGTATAGAATAATATTTTGGTAGCTTTCACCCATTATTAGCTACATAAGTTGTCTGAAACATAACTTTGAATTGTATATTTCAATGGGTTATGCAGTAGTATCTGCTTTTTGTTTGTTTGTTTGTCCAGTCTTACTCAGCTTCTCAAGCTATCCTCGGCCCTCATGGGTTCTTTTTCTTGATGGCGAACAACAGGTGTTAGGCGTGAAGAGAAGGCAGGTATCCCTCGGTGCTGGCTCGAAATCGAGAGACAAGGTCGTAATAGTGGAGGAGTTAACCATACAAGATGTCTTCAGTGCTTTGAAGAAGAGTCAAGACTTGAAATGAAAGTGGTTGTTTTCTCTTTACACAGCAAAGTCACATTGAATGAGGAATAGTTAAGCCTAATGTAAGGGCACAGCCAGCACTGTAGTTTATATATCTCTCACCATTTGGTGGGACAGACTAGGGGATGGAGGTCACCCATTGCTTGCTGTCGAAGGCAGGTTGTTGTTGCCATTTTGGCTGGAGATTTGTAAAAGGTTGAATGGAGAAATGAACTTTTTAGCTTTTTACCTCTTCTTTTCCTTATTGTCTGAGTTCTCAGAAGACAAAAATGGAGATTTACAAAGAATGAAAGACAGTATCTCATACAATCATAGTTAAGTTGAGAAAAGGACGAACCAAATCCGCTAAAGACAGACAGGAAAATGGATCAATAACGTAAAAGCAAGAAAACAACAAGCACACAGAAGAACGAGTCTAAAGCCAGTGTCCGCCAAGCCCACATCCAAGTAGCGAAGGAAGTACGACGGGGTAATCCTGCAGCAGCCAGATCAACAATGGGTGAATAAGGATTTGAAACCAGAGCAAGTACCAATTCAAAGGACTAAGAAAACGTTCTTCAACATGGAAACCCACCTAATTATACTATCATAGTATTTTGATGTTGAAGCAACCGATAGACATAGTGAAAGGACGTAACAAGATCATTTTCATCTTCTCCATGCAAGCAGGTTCTTAAAGAAACCTATATACTCAAACTAACCTTGGTGGATGAAAGGCTCTCGCTATCTACGAGAAAGGGTAACTAGCAAACTTCCCCAACTACTTACTATACAAGATCTTGATTCTTTCTACTGTGTATGCTACAGTAAGGGAAGCAAAAGGGGAATTCAAATCTATGATCGCTTGTTATCAACTAACACATATCTATCAACAAATTACAATTAGTTTTCCGACCTAAATGTAATTTTTATTTAACAGTTTTATCTAATATTTAAATCGACTTATAAAATTAACATTGTTGTTACCGGTGATCACGAGAGATATAGAAAGAGTATTTTTTTCGCAAAGAATTGTGTAAGCATACCACTTTCAAGTTGAATAAGTGATAACTGATAAGTCATGAATAATTTTTTTAGTACAATGCATCGATATAGAGAGTGATATAACTAAAATCACCAAAGCATTTTAAAGGGAGTAGAACTACTAAATAACTGAAATATAATGTTATAAAGATGATAAGAAATGAATAACATTGAACTAACTCATCCAACGAATAGAACTAACCAAACTTCTCTAGACTACAAAAATGAATGACAAAGTAAATAGAAATGTCTGCATATGGAGACGTAGATGAGAGTGGTAATTTTGATTATGTGCAGGTGCAAGGTTGGGCTTGTGCGGCTTGAGGGAAGGAAGGATTCCTACAACGGTCTCTTAAGTTTATTATTTTGAAGTGTTAGAAGACACATGCTTTCAATAGTCTGTGTATGAACTGTTTTCTGTTTGTCAGTACCTTTAAAGTAATGGGTGAGTCCAGTTATGCTCTGTTCTATCTTGGTGCCAAGCTTTAGCCTTGGACTAAGAACTATTTTGGGAGAGAATGTATGCGTCAAGTCGTGTATTGGTCCAAGGATTTTGCAAATGTAATGTTGTTATGCTTTTCCCCTGATTCTCAGAGTCTCAAATCGGCCACACCATAGCTTCCAGCTCCGGCCGATTTAGCTAACAGGGAAATCCTTGACTGCCTAAACATTCGTTGCTCCTCAGGCTTTGTTAGTATCTACTAACAAAAATGCCTGTTAGCAGGATAGCTAAATTGCCTCCAAACGAACAAATCTCAATGAAAGAAGAAAAAAAATATATAGAATGTGAAGAACTCAAATCAAAGAGAGCTCCGCTAGGATCCAAGACAGAGATTAGAGAAACCATTGAAAGAGTAAAGAAGCGAGAGAAAAAGGTTTATATGGAAACTAAAAGGGGAAGATTGTTTAGTTTTTCTCTCACTCAATTAATTTTAACCTACTCTCTACCCATCAGCTACCAAGTGGAACGCCATGACTAAACTCGACATAGAACATTGTGCATGTCATTGCAGGTAAAAGTAAGCAGAGAACATGTGGTAGAATAGAAAAAAGAGCAGCTATCACTTCAACCATCTCCCCAAACCTCCATCGTAAACCAGAACGACGGCTAAAAAGACTTTTAACTTTTTTCATTTCTTCTTACTTCCTTCTCTCTCCCAGTCACAGAGCTTTCTGAAAAGCAAGTATCATTTTTTCTCTCAGTCCCAGAGTTCTCTGAAAAGCAAGCATCACCTCAAATTGGAAAAAGAAGTCTCAGCACGTCACTTCAGCAAGGAAAATGAAAGAATTCTCCATAACAAAACCACTAACTTTGATCCTCCTCTCAGAAGGATCGACAATGGGTGGATAAGGATTTGAAACCAGAGCAAGTATCAATTCAAAGGACTAAGAAAACGTTCTTCAACATGGAAACCCACCTAATTATACTATCATAGTATTTTGATGTTGAAGCAACTGATAGACATAGTGAAAGGAGGTAACAAGATCATTTTCATCTTCTCCATGCAAGCAGGTTCTTAAAGAAACCTATATACTCAAACTAACCTTGGTGGATGAAAGGCTCTCGCTATCTACGAGAAAGGGTAACTAGCAAACTCCCCCAACTACTTACTATACAAGATCTTGATTCTTTCTACTGTGTATGCTACAGTAAGGGAAGCAAAAGCTAATGAACGAAAACATAATTGGAAAAAAGGAAGAAAAAGATACTTATAGCAGATCTTCCCTCCACAATCAAGAACCCTTAACAGGCCCACATTTCAGCCCACGAACCTGAATTACTGCATACGAGTGCTACAGAAACAAAGAGTGACGTTAGGATTGTTGAGGGGATCTTCTTGGGGATAACTAAAAAAAAGTTTGTGACGTTTGAATTTTGGAGCACAAAGTTATGACCGTTCAAAGTTCGGTGAAATCAAAAAGCCGCTCGTTCGGGATAGCAAACGAATTTTTTTTTGGACGAAGGCGGGACCAATGGCTTGTAAGATCTCGAAAAGTTATGCGGAATAATTTTTTTTTTTGCTACGTTCGGATACCCAAACGCAAAGTTACGTTCGTTTGAAGTTTCGACATATGTTAGGAGTTGATCAGGAAAAAAAAGTTCATGAAAACCGCTGGGTGGGAGGCGATTTTCACCTTAACCGCGCCTTCCCCCTCGGTTTATCAAAACACCCCAACACCTAATAATTGTGGAAAACATGTTAATTCCATGTTGTTAATGTAATTATCTCATGATATGTTTGAAACATATAATACTTGTTTTAAAGTCAATTGACTATGGAATGGCTATCATTTATTTCCATTTTAGAGTTTTTGTATGGGCTAAACAAGAAAATAAAGAACATATGAATGCACAAGCACAAAGTTGGGTGCACACTGCACAGACAAGAGGGAAAGGAAAGGAGCAGCAGCGGAAACAAAGTCCTGAACCGGCCTTTATGTTTGCTAATGTAATTTGGAAGGACTGCTAGTGATGGCAGTGGGTCGGGGCGGGGTGGTACCTCAATACCTATGCTTCGCTCCGCACTAGTACGGATCGGGGAGGGTAATACCCGTGCGGGTATGGGACAGGGCGCGTCGACCCACTCTTATATGCTATTTGAGAAAAATACATGTGAAATTTTACTTTTTTATGATAAAACGAAAGGGAAAAGACTTTATAAATGAATAATAGTGATAATATAATGGGCAATTGAGTCTATTTAGTTGAAAGATCAAGTCTAACTAGTTGAATAAAAGCAAAAATAGGAGATATATGAATGGATGAGGTAAGAAATTGACCTAGAACGGGCCAAGAATGAGGCGGGGCAGGGCAGGGCGGGTCGTAAATAAATACCCATGTCCCGCCGGGGCGGGTATTGCGGGTTAGGTCGGGTAATACCCGGCAGGGCGGGTTCAAATTGTCATCCCTAAGGGCGGCCCTTTTCTTTACTGGGCCTGGACGAAACGGGATAGATGAGTGCTTTGAAGGGAGCATTATTGACGATTTTATTGGACCGAGTTTGTTGTCGTTTTATGAGGAGGACAAGGCTAGCGGAACGGTAGCGTAAAAGGGATGGGGAGGAGGATTTACTTTTTGGATGGCTAAACGTCGTCCTAATTATACTATTATCGTCCTTAAATAAAAAATAAAATTACGAAATTGTCCTTTATTTAATCTTCTTTATCATTTATTTAATCAATTCAAATTCAACGAGCAATCCTACAATTGCTAATCCTCCATCGCTGGCCGCCGCCTCTTCAAAATCCCTTCATCGGCGTCCTTCTCCAACTGCAGTCGCCGACGACGTTCCTCCTCCCTAGTCGTCCTTCTCCAAAAAAAACATGGGTGAATAATGAGGATGATGAAAAAGGGTATTTATTGGATGAATGAGGGCGGATGAATCGATTAGGATGGTATATAATGGTGGTGGTATTCATAGCTCAGATTGTTTTGGTATTAATTGGGTGGGATGAAGGATGATGAATCGGTTGGTGAGAATGCAAAGGGGGATTGAGTGATTGTCCTTCGTTAAATTCCTTACTTCCTTCCGTTCTTTCACATCCCGATCGATTCGAGACCGCCGGAGCCATCGCCGGACGCCTCAAACGTTTTGCCCATATGGTAATTAAGCGATAATTAGCCATCCCCGAGTAAAAGCTAGTAATAATAAATATTCAATCTCATACAATCATAGTAGTTAAGTTGAGAAAAAGGACGAACCAAATCCGGTAAAGACAGACGGGAAAATCGGATCAGTAACGTAAAAGGCAGAAAACAACAAGCACACAGAAGAACGAGTCTAAAGCTAGTGCCCGCCAAGCCCACACCGCAAGTAGCGAAGGAAGTACGATGGGGTAATCCTGCAGCAGCCAGATCAAGGTCCTCTCAGCTCCGTCAAAAGAATTCTTCACCAGATCGACCAAACCGAGCCCGTACTTGTTGCGGATGTGACGATCCAGTTTCCGCCACGCCCATATCGGCGACATCACAACCAATGCTCCGACCGTCAATTCGATTGCATCTGACAGCCGGCGCAAAATCAGTGCCCCGTCGACGGCCTGAGGGTAAGGAGTTGGCATGATCCGGTCGAGAAAGATCATCCACGACGCCAAACATAACACGGATATAACGCCACACTTGAGACCGTCCATGGCGCAGAGCAGAGACGAAGGAAAGATTGCTCGCCTGGAGACGGCCCAAGAGGTTTATTTATGGATTGGATCCAAGTCCAAGTCCTTTCAGGAGGAAGAGACTTCCTTTTTTCCTTGTCCGTCTCTGAGTCAAAAATACTATGGTCGCTGGCTTCTATTGGGCTTCTTTGTTTGGTTTCAGTCCAAAATGTTGGTCCATAAGTCCGGCCCACTAAAATTTCGTGTTCTTCCGCCCCGGAGCCGCCTTCCGCATCCGCATAGGACAATAAAATTTGAATTTTTAAGGTGACGCGATTATTATTATATAAAGCATCGCAGGATACTGTCCGACAAATCTCGAGGGAGTTAGGGTTCTTACTTTGCTGGAAAAAAAATTCTCGCAGGTCACTGTGAATCGATTTCTGCAGCTCGCTCGCCTTTTTTTTTTGGGGTAATTTCTAACGATGGATGCAGCTTCCCTCCATCCCAGCTCCGGCGAATATGAACCTGGATACGTTCCCACTCCTCGCCGTGGTTCATCCTCCGACGAATCTCAGTTTGGGCCCGAATTGAAGAGGCAGAAGGTCGAGGAATCCGACCACTCTGAGGACGCCATGAGAAGGAGCGGTAGTAGCAGCGACATTGAGATTGCGGAAGCAGAAGCAGAAGAAGATGATTGGGACGATAGCAGTGATGATGATGATGATGATGATGGTCGTTTTGACTTTGCTTCGTGCTTCGATTTCTACGCTCGAATTCTCGACACTGAGGTGAGAATCATGACTATTCATAGAGGGGTTTTCTCTGTTTCATTGTTTGTTCTGCGGGTTAATTGCACAGTATGCCATTTAAGTTCACCATTTGTTGCACGATAACCACTTAAGTATGTTTTGTTGCAACTAAACCACTTATATCCAATTCCGGTAGCATTGTTACCATTTCCGTCTCCATGACTAACGGCAGGTGCTAAAACGTAAATTACCACGCCAACTCAGCCGCCATGTCAGCTGCAGACTGCTGACTCATTTTAACCTAACCCTATTTAAGTCCAATAAATGGACTCATCCTCTTTCCCCAAAAAAATCCATCGACCCCTTCCTCCTTTTCTTTCCTATCCACACCCTAGCTTACCCTATTATAAAACCAGAGACGAAAATCTTCTTTTCAATCCCTTCCTTCTTCTGCTTCATATTCCTGTGTCTAGATAATTGCATTTCCATTTCAGGCTCTTTTCTGTAAATTTTGGTTTTTGTTCCTTCATTCATTTTCGCCAAAGGGATCCTAGTTCTATCGCTTCCTTTCCTCCCAGAATGGCGGCAGCAACTCCATTGTGCCGTTGTGCTGAACCAGCGATTCTCCGAACCTCGTGGACTGATGCCAATCCCGGCAGACGCTTCTTTGGCTGCTCGAATTATGGGGTATGACGAACACTAGAATCTTTACTCTCAATTTCACTTTAGCATCTCTGACCTAGTTCTTGTTCTGGTTCTTCTCTATTTGATTCGTAGGATGGGAAAGCATGCAATTATTTTCGTTGGATCGATCCGCCACTTGATGAGAATACTAAGCGTGTTCTTCTTTCATTGCATAAGAGGATCAGAGAGATGGAGAATAGGAACAACCATAGCTCGTTTATGAAAGAACTGGTGAAAGGAATTTGTATTATTGTTGGTGCTGCTTTGGCAAAGAGAGTGGTGACTTACATATTTGGGAACCTGTAATAGGAGCTTCCTCTATTATTTATTGCAGAAATGGCAGGAATGGGTTATGTTGTTGCTGTCTTTCTTAACAGCTGTTGTTATTGTAGCTTATGTTGTAACTGATCAATGAGATTAATTGAGTATGATTAAAGAACTAATGTTTGAGAATTGTTGGGTTTCCTTTCTCTCTTTGCGTCTCAAAGTGCAGATAGCTTGTTTTAGATGCTTGTTTTATTTGCTTGTTATCGTAGCTTTAAGAATTAAGATAATTGCAGCACTGTCATGGCCAGGTCACCATCTTGAAGCTCACTGTGTTTTCACAATGGAAAGTATGGGCATCAATCAATTTCAGCTAGCAAATTACAAATTCCATACTGCAGATTCCATACTGCAGAAGATATTAAACAGAACACAGGAATATTAAACAGAACAAGTATGGGCATCAATCTAATGGAGATATTAAACAGAACAAAACACAGGAATAGAAAAGGTGACCCTGAAATCACTGATTCCATACTGCAGAAGAAGGCCATGAAATAAGCAAAAGACAAAGAAAACAACCCAAACAGTGCTGCAAATGGCTGTTTATAAATCTGTCAGTTTTAGCAAAGAGTATCCAAAATGCCAGGTCACCATCTCTTAAAGAAGACAGAAAAGAGAGAAAGCCCTATCCAAGAGTCTTTCAAGTTCTTGACAAAACCAAAGAAAGATGCAGGAGTCTTTTAACTACTCTTCTGCCCTGCTAAAAACCACAAAAAGATGTCTGCTAACAGCCCTCCCTCCTCATTTAACAACATGGCATGATTGATGTTCCTGCAACAGAAAAAGTATAAGAAACACACTTGTTAACTTTAACTCAAAACTTCAACTACAGTTCTGCTTGCCTCAAGCATAAAAATGGAAGTGAATATAACCTAAGATCGGCTACTTTGATGTGATGGGGTAGAAAGTAAGATCGAAGTTTGGCTTAAGGGATTCATGGGACGAGTCCGGCTACTTCCCTATTGACAAAAAATCAATTAGAGTTCTGAAATATAAGCTCTAAACAACATAACAATTGAAACATCAGCTCTAAACTTACATCAGGCATCCATTGCACAATAAAACCAGTTGGCCCCCTAGTTGCTGCACTTCCCTATAAATCATATACACAAACACATTAAATGGCAGGGGATCAAACAACTAATATATTGTAAAAGCAGTTTTAACTTACCCCATCCCTTGATGCTTGACCTGCTGCTACTGTTTGTGAACTCGATTCACCAAAATTTTCACCACCAAATGCAGCACTTGAACTCCCTTTCTTGTTCCCTCTTGAGTGAAATGACTTATTGTGTCCAGGCTGATGACACTCACTACAATGAATGGTTCCACCCTTCCCTTTCCGACTCATCTTCTCATTTCCATCTCTAAACTTACGTTTCTGCATATCATTACCTGTTGTCTCCTCAATGCCCTTTCTCCTTTTGGTTTGTCGCCTTCCTGGTTTTTTTGTTTCATCCAAGGGTACATATGGTGGCATCACAGGCTCTCTTCCACTTGGTAACCATGATTCAGGCCCAACCATTGGTTCCACATTTCCCATGTAAGTTTTGATGTAGCTTGCAACTTCATAATGCTTGTCCACATAATTTTCAACCCTTTTTGAGATTTGCCATATGCAGCGAATGGCATGTGGACAAGGTAAACCTGTCAATTCCCACATCCTACATGTACATTTGGCCTTGTTCAAATCAACCACAAGCTGACCCTCTGGACACATAACTTGGAATTTTTGTGGGCCACTTTGGATGGCAGTACATCTAAAGCTAGCCTTCTGAGCTATGTTTAGCTTTTGTTGGATGGTAGGACAGAATTTACCTTTGAATTTTAACTCAGCCTTCTCCCTCCTCACATGAAATCTGCGCATAAGAATATTCCTGATGGTCTCAAACATGCTTATGATTGGTTTGGTTCTAGCTCCTAAGAGAGAGCTATTCCAACTCTCACATATATTGTTTGTCAACAGATCTGATTTGCAGAATGGTTGGAAATATGCCCTACACCACTGTGAAAATGGCTTTTCCAGCAACCACCTATGAGCCTTTTCATCATGATCTTTAAATTCAGTCATGCACTTTTTAAATTCTGCATCATAGCTTGCTCTAGCAATCTTCCATAACAAGTCTCTGGTTTTTTTGTTACCTCCTTGTGCCCTGAACAGATTAGAAACGAGGTGTCTGACACAGCATCGATGCTCTGCATACGGAACCACACTCTCCAATGCATTCAACAAACCCTGCCAGGAAAAGTTCAAATACATAATCAGGATGGAAACCAATATATGTAATATAAAACTTAAAGTACTCTTTAACCGAAGCTCACCTTTTGCTTATCTGACATAAAAGTCCAGCTGCCAGGATCTTCAAAGATGTTGACATCAAGACATAGTTGGTTCAAAAACCAAGTCCAGTTGTCTCCATTTTCAACTCTCACTGCGGCATATGCTATGGGGAAACTCCCACCATTCCCATCTAGGCAAACAGCAGACAATAATTGCCCTCCATGTTCTGTCTTCAAAAAGCATCCATCAAGAAGAATGATCTTCCTGCAAGATGCAACCCCTTGCTTGCACGGTTCCAAACAACAATACATTCTTTTGAATCTGCTAGAGTTCTCACACGTTTCCACAAAGCAGGTAGAACCAGGACTTGTCCTTCGCACTTCAGCACAATAATCTTGCAACCTGCGGTACTGCTCCTTAGCATTGCCACTTATTAGATTCTTAGCAACACGCCTGATCCTCCATGCTTTCCATCTTGAAATGGTCCAACTATAGTCCTCTGCCACAGTTTGAATAATAGATTCAGTACCCCAATCCGGATCAACCTGAAACCTTTGGATGTACCTACGAGCAATAAAATTAGCATCTCCAAACTTGTTTTTGAACACCATGATACACCCCTCGTGTTTTAGATAACATGATCTGATTTGGACAGCCTTTCCATCATCTGTCAGTCCTACCCATATGTTCCATGGGCAACCTGTCTGGCAGACAACTTGAACTCTATGCCTGTCACTATGTTTAAATCTGAGAGGTTGTTTGCTGTTGATGGAGTAGCTTTTGATAGCATCCTTGAATGTATCTTTGTCCCTGAAGATTTGGTGTAGGCAAAATTGGGGATCACTCATTTCTTTTTCTGGATTGAATTCTGGGTATCTTGAATGAGTTTGAACTCCTTCTTCTTCATCAGAGTGAACACTACCCAGATTGTCTGAATCATACAACTCATCATCAACATTGACATCAAATGTAGAGTCAATATAGATATCATGGCTTTCATTCTCCACATCATTGGTTTGCCCCTCCACATCCTCCTCTCCTTCATAATTCTCGGCTGCCAGTAGTTCCAGATCACCCTCCAGTCTCTCATCATTGGTCTCGTGTCCATATTCAGGTGCATTCTCATGTTGTTGTTCAACACCCATGTCAACAAGACTTTGCACACTTGGACGTTCTCCTTGATATGCTTCTAATGTAGCCTTCCTTAACTCATCTTTATTGATCAGATAAACCTCTACAAACTTGGTTTCTAGAACTATCTTGGCAGCCATGTCCAGAACATCACTATCACTTGTCAGCTCTTGCAGTCCTTCCTTCAATCTTTCTCCCGGCAGTCTCCAATAATATGCCCAACCATGTGTCGTCCTATATTCCTCCACCATTCTCATACTTTCCATATGACCGATGTCGACAACATAACCATCTAGCTCGAACAAAGAAAAACAGTCTGGATCAATCCAATCCAAGTATACAACTTCACCTCCAAAATAGGATATGTCTTCATCATTTATATGCACAATTTCACCCTTATAATGGAGTTCGATTGTGAATTTATCATCTTTATATCCTGGAAAAAAAGAAAGAAAACAGTATACGCATTGGTAACCAAACTACAACGATCATAACACAAACAGTTCGGTTAACATTTACTGCAGTAAATCGCAGCTGCAAAATGGCAGAGCATGAAAAAATACAGCAATCGTTAATTGAAAAACTCACCATATATAGGAATTCGGTCAGTTTCACCCACTTCCCTAATGCTTGGACGCATTTTTTAAAATCAAACAATAAGAGATCAGGTGCTTGAAGTGGACTGCCCTGCATTCATCCATTGATCATTCAACAGCAAAAAACAAAAACAAACACCAAAACAGAGCACTCAAAGAAACCAGAAGTCACTCACCTATTTCTCCATCATTCCATGAAAAAGCTATATTTGTTACTGCTTTCAAATCCCTATAAAAGAGAAGGAAATAATTAGATGAGAAACCATAATCTGCAATTGAAAAGGGTCTGAGAAGAATGAAGGTATAGAGTAGCGCAGGAGAAGGGTAGGAATAAATACCAATGATTTTTTTCCCCCAGCAAGCTTTCCTTCCTTCTTCGCGACGATCGCTAGTATAAGCTCCTTGACTCAAGTTTTTGTTTTCTGCAGGGGAGGAGTTGACGGTTCGGCTGCCGGCGGAGAATGGCTTTGCCAAGGCAAGGAGAAGTGTCCCGCGTAAAAGGAAACTTTGGATTTAGTGGGCCCATCGAATTTCGGTGGCCCACAGGTGATTCTGCAGCTGACATGGCGGCTGAGTTGGCGTGGTAATTTACGTTTTAGCACCCGCCGTTAGTCATGGAGACGGAAATGGTAACAGTGCTACCGGAATTGGATATAAGTGGTTTAGTTGCAACAAAATATACTTAAGTGGTTATCGTGCAACAAATGGTAAACTTAAATGGCATCCTGTGCAATTAACCCTTTGTTCTGCATTACTACGCAGTGGCGAACCCAGGAATTACATTAAGGGTATTCAACGACGAAATCAAACCATCAAGGATTGTCAAATAGCACTGAGTTTAAATACTATCATCACTAAAACAATAATCTACAAAGGATTTTTGTCTCAAAATTGAAACAAGGTTTGTCAATTGACAAGCCTAGGCCTAACCTAGGTCCGTCCCTGATATAGGGGCTTCTACTTAGAATCACGCTTTTGATTGTACTTGTTCGATTGTGTTTTACAGGGTGCCGAGAGTCGTTTCCCGGGCCACGCGTTTCGCCACATTCGCCTCGACGACCCCAATGAAGAGGCTGAGCACTTGAAGAATGTGAAGAGATCTGCTAGGTTTGTGATCTATGAACAGTACAGGATGGGCAATAAGGTAGTGTCTGTCAGGCTCTTTTCCCCCCTTTCCCGACTCCCCCCAGTTTCTTGTTTGATAGAAAAATTGAATCTTGGTGTGCCTTTCCACAGATGAAATTGGTTAGGATTGAGAAGGCTTGCTCGCAATCGGTGAATGGGTACAACTACTACATCACGTTCTCTGCCGAGACTTGGCCGACCAGGCAAATCAAGGTGTACCAAGCACAGGTTTACATTAATTTTATGGGGCAGTTGGTAAAGACCACCGTTTTCAGGGAGAAACCCCCTCCCCAGCAGCAGATGCAGCAGCCTTCAGGCAATACAATTCAGCAGGTATAGTTTGGTTTATGTCGCTGTTTCCCGGGCCACCGTCCTTTGTTCTCTTCCCTTTCTGTGTTTCGTTGCTCCCAGCCATCACTTTTGACTTAAAATATCCTTTGTCATGTCATTTTGATTATGTGCAGGTGCAAGGTTGGGCTTGTGCGGCTTGAGGGAAGGAAGGATTCCTACAACGGTCTCTTTAAGTTTATTATTTTGAAGTGTTAGAAGACACATGCTTTCAATCAGGGGCGGACCCGGGGGTTTAGCGGTGTCCCCGGACACCCCTAAATTTTGGGAAAACGATTATACAACCCCCGGCGGTAATTTACGTATGGACAAAAAAAATATAATTGATAGTGAGGGACACTCCTTAAATTTGAAAAATGATTATCCTATTGTCATTTGTGTATAGGAATATAAGTGGTATATTGGATAATTCAAATCTAGAACACTATTATTATTAATAAACTTAATTTCCGTTGAGCTAAACTCATTTGTTGTTTGATTTTGAACAATGTGTAATAGTAAAATGACATTCCCTATCTCTAATTATTTTTAAAAACTAACAATTAAACTAATTTCAAACTACCCTTAATTTGTATTGATTTTAGGATTTTATGGCAAGTGTTGAAAGAGTCTTTCAGCTTTGGGTTACATTAAGAACAAATTTACAAATCGAATATGCGATAAGTTCGTGAATGATTGTCTAGTAGTGTATATAGAGACAATTTTTTTAATACTATAGAACCAAGTGTATTCTACAATTATTTTCGAATATGAAAACACATCATGGACTTTTTAAACCTGTACGAGTAAGGTATTTTCATATTTACAATTTTATTTTTATTAATTTTTTTTATTTAATTTATTTTTTAAAAGAGGACACCCCTATGAAAAATTTCTGGGTCCACCACCGCTTTCAATAGTCTGTGTATGAACTGTTTTGTGTTTGTCAGTACCTTTAAAGTAATGGGTGAGTCCAGTTATGCTCTGTTCTATCTTGGTGCCAAGCTTTAGCCTTGGACTAAGAACTATTTTGGGAGAGAATGTATGCGTAAGTCGTGTATTGGTTCCAAGGATTTTGGTTCCAATGTAACATTGTTATGCTTTCCCTGATTCTCAGAGTCTCAAGCAGTGCTCCATGTTAGTGCGAATCTTGAGTATTAAGGTACCTATACGGTCTCGTAGTCCATCATCATTCTTAGTAGGGGTGAACAAAGCAACACGTAAACCGACCCACCCAACCAATCCAACTCGACCCACCCGAAAATAGGTAATGAACACAAATTTGCAGGTGGGTGAGGGTTTGATTTTGATTTCAGATGGGTGGGTTCGGGTTGGTCCACCCCGCAAAGCCAACCCAACCCATCATTTAATAGTCATGCGTGTAAACTGTAATGTAGATATAAAATGAATTTTTTCTTTCCAATTATATGAGGATCCTGAGAGGATAGTGCGAATAGTTGCCTTATTATGGAGGATCTGGAAGTCTAGGAATTGAGTGGTGTTTGATCATATTCAGTATACTACGGAATTCCTTGTGCGTCAATACCATAATCAGGTAAGGGAGTGGTTGGCGGCTTGGCGCTGCCGGCTCAAGGAGTTGGGGGACAGGCGCCTGGTGCGGGTCAGTCGGAAGGGATGTCGCCTACTACGCCATTTGTCTGTTTTGTTGATGGGGCGGTTAGCGCGGGATCGCATGCTGCAGGTGGAATGGTGGTACAGGATCAAGGGGGTTCTACCCTGTTTGTGCAAGGCTTTGTTTATGCAAGTTTGCAGGATCCCTTTTTGGCTGAGTTGATGGCGTTCTGGGATGCGATTCGGTGGTGTTCTTTGAAGGGCCTGCCGAAGATTGCTTTCCTCGGGGACTCGCAAATGGTGGTTTGTAAGATAAAGGGGCATGTGACTCGGGATGGCCGCGGAGGAGCAATTCTTGAAGAGATTTCGCATTTCCGGCAATTTTTTTGCGGAGTTTGATGTCGGCTATCGGCGCAGGCAAAACAATCGAGCGGCTCATGTTGTAGCCAAAAAGGCTCTCTTTGTTTCCTGTTGGTGTGGTCGGGTTTGATTTTTGGTCGTGGTTTTTATGTGGATTATAAACATAGGTATATATATTTCTTGGTAATACAAGCGAGCTTTTTGGGGGGGGGGGGGAATTCTACGATAACTTTTATATTTGGTTTCCAAAAAGTATAATTTTCTTTCATTTATCTAAAATTAAATAGAAAATAATTTGTTATAATATAAAAATATCCATGTTACTTAATTTATACTTTATATTTTATATCCAAAATATTATTTATTATTTTACAATAGTTCTATATTGTAAAATAACATGGTAGAATAACATGATTTCGTTGGTGTGCATCAAGTTATCTACAGATACCTATAAGTCAATGTCAAAAAATAGATGTTGCCACATCAGCCACCGTTGCTCATATCATATATTTCGGAGGGGTTAATATTGAATTAAGATCAAGATTAAATTAATCAAGAGAGAAAATGTTCTTTACCTCTTCTTTTCCTTATTGTCTGAGTTCTCAGAAGACAAAAAAATGGAGATTTACAAAGAATGAAAGACAGTATCTCAACCTTTTACCATGAATGCAGTAAGCAATCCAGTTCACAGATAAAGTGGAACTAGTAATAATAAATATTCAATCTCATACAATCATAGTTAAGTTGATTAAAGACAGGAAAACGGGATCAATAACGTAAAAGGAAGAAAACAACAAGCACACAGAAGGAGTCTAAAGCCAGTGCCCGCCAAGCCCACACCGCAAGTAGCGAAGGAAGTACGATGGGGTAATCCTGCAGCAGCCAGAACAAGGTCCTCTCGGCTTCGTCAAAAGAATTCTTCACCAGGTCGACCAAACCGAGCCCGTACTCGTTGCGGATGTGACGATCCAGTTTCCGCCACGCCCATATCGGCGACATCACAACCAATGCTCCGACCGTCAATTCGATTGCATCTGAAATTTGTGATGGTGCCCCTTTGGAATTTGCCAAAAATTGACCCGGAAGAAATTCGCACAAATCGGTGCTTAATGAACTTAATAATCAATAAAGAATAGGCTCAGGCCGAATCCGTGATTTGTAGCTTTCAAAATCAAAAGAAAATAACATTTCGTCGCCAAAAAAATTACGAAAACGCCATCCGAAAATAAATTGGCCCCATACTGGTGCTTATTGGGCTTATCATCCGTGGAGAATAGGATCAATGGACTTCATTATCGGTGGAGAATAACCTCGGTCTGAATTTATGATTTGTAGCCTCCAGAATCGAAAGAAAATGTTATTTCGAGAAAATAGCCCGAAATTTGTGATGGTACCCGTTTGGAATCTTCCAAAATTTACCCAAAAGAAATTCGCCCAAATCGCTGCTTAATGGACTTAATCATAGTTGAATAATAGCCTCAGACCGAATCCGTGAACTGTAGCCTTCAAAATCCAATGAAAATGGCCTTTCGTCGACCAAAACATTACGAAAATGTCATCCGAAAATAAATAAGCCCAAATCGATGCTTAATGCACTTATCATAATGGAGAATGTGATCAATAGACTTCATTATCAGTAAAGAATTTCCTCGGCCTGAATCCATTATATGTAGCATCTAGAATCGAATGAAAATGCCATTTCGAGAAAATTGCTTGTAATCTGTGATAGTACCCCTTTGGAATCTGCCAAAAATGGACCTGGAAGAAATTCGCCCAAATCAGTGCTTCAGGGACTTAATCATCGTTCAAGAATAGTCTCAGACCGAATGCGTGATTTGTAGCCTTCAAAATCAATAGAAAATGGCCTTTCGTCGACCAAATAATTACGAAAATGTCATCGAAAATAAATGGGCCCAAATTGGTGCTTAATGGACTTATCATCCGTGGAGAATAGGATCAATAGACTTCATTATTGGAGGAGAATAGTCTCGGCCTTAATCAATATTCTTTAGGCTCTAGAATTGAAAGAAAATGCCATTTTGGGAAAATCGCTAGAAATCTGCGATGGTACACCTTTGAAATCTGCCAAAAATTGATTCGGTCGAAATTCGCACAAATCAAAGCTTAATGCACTTAATAATATATAAAGAATAGCCGCAGGCCGAATCCGTGATATGTAGCTTTTAAGATCAAAAGAAAATGGTCTTTCGTCGCCCAAAAAATTACGAAAATGGCATACGAAAATAAATTAGACAAAATCGGTGCTTAATGGACTTATCATCCGTGGAGAATAGGATCAATAGACTTCATTATAGGTGGAGAATAGCCTCGACCTGAATCCGTAATCTGTAGCCTCCAGAATCGAAAGAAAATGCCATTTCGGGAAAATAACCTGAAATCTGTGATGGTACACCCCTTTGGAACTGGCCAAAAATTTAGCCGACAAAAATTAGCCCAAATCGGTACTTAATGGACTTAATCATAGTTGAATAATAGCCTCTGGAAGAATCCGTGAACTATAGCTTTCAAAATCCAATGAAAATGGCCTTTCGTCGCCCAAAAAATTAAGAAAATGTCATCCGGGAATAAATTAGCCCAAATCGGTGCTTAATGCACTTATCATCATGGAGAATAGGATCAATAGACTTCATTATTAGTGGAGAATAACCTCAGCCTGAATCCATTATATGCAGCCTCCAGAATCGAACGAAAATGCCATTTCGGGAAATTTGCCCCTAAATCTGTGAGGGTACCCCTTTGGAATCTGCCAAAAATTGACCTACAAGAAATTTGCCCAAAATTGGTAAGGGACTTAATCATCGTTCAAGAATAGTCTCATGCCAAATTGGTGATTTGTAGCCTTTAAAATCCAAAGAAAATGGTCTTTCGTCGACCAAAAAATTACTAAAATAACATCCAAAAAATAAATTGGCCCAAATCGGTGCTTAATAGACTTATCATCCGTGGAGAATAGGATCAATAGACTTCATTATCGAAGGAGAATAGTCTCGACCTGAATCAATATTTTTTATGCTCCAGAATCGAAAGAAAATGTCATTTCGGGAAAATTTCCTGAAATCTATGATGATACACCATTGGAATCTGCCAAAAATTGACTTGGTAGAAATTCGCACAAATAGGTGCTTAATGGAATTAATATTCAATAAAGAATAGCATCAAGCCGAATCCGTGATATGTAGCTTTCAAAATAAAAAGAAAATGGCCTTTTGTCTCCCAAAAAATTACGAAAATGCCATACGGAAATATATTAGCCCAAATCGGTGCTTAAAGGAATTATCATCCGT